AACCACTACTGACAGTCATACTACACACTACTGTTTAACGCAGAATGTGCGGTTTCATTAACAGCCTCAGCGAGATGCTCTTTTGATACCCAACCATGATACTAACCTGTTACCAGGTTACCTTGTCTATCCAATCCAATCCAACTTTATTTGTTAAGCACTTAAAACAACCACAGTTGACCAAGTGCTGTACAGAAGAATAAATAAAATATGTAACAGCTCACGAGGTTAAAGAAAACTACATGTGAAATACAGAATCAAGTTAAAAGACATAAAACATAAGTAAAATAAATAGGCACGCAAAAAAGAAATAAATAGATAAGTTGACGTCTTACTATGTGTCAAAGGCCAGGGAAAATGGGTCTTAAGACGAGATTTAAAAACAGTCAGAAAAGAGGCCTGTTCAATGTGCTGAGGTTCGATATTCGAGGTGTCGTTCCATAATTTTGGAGCTGCAAAACGCACGGTCCCCTCTGAGCTTCCGCTTGGTTTTAGACATCCTCAGGAGCAGCTGATCAGCTGACCTGAGAGAGCGGGTGGGCATGTAGAAGCTCAGAGAGGTAGGGCGGGGCAAGACCATTGAGAGATTTAAAAGCAAATAAAATAATTTTAAAAGGGGCGCGCTGGTGTCGCAATGTTTAGGGCGCGCGCCCCATGTATTGAGGCTGTCGTCTCAAGCGGGCGGCCCGGGCTCGCATACCGCCTGGTTTCCGACTCTATCCACTGTCCTATCTCTCCATTAAAGGCACAAAAAGCCCAAAAATAAATCTTAAAAAAAATGATAATAATAATAATTTTAAAATTGATCCTAAATTGTATGGGCAACCAGTGGAGTGAGGCTAAAATGGGGGAAATGTGGTCATATTTACATGTGCCAGTTAAAAGATGTGCAGCTGCATTCTGTACCATCTGGAGACGGGCGATGGAGGACCCACTAACCCCCACATACAATGAATTGCTGTAATCCAGCCGTGTGGTAACAAAGGCGTGGATTACCGTCTCAAAGTGCTGCCTTGAAAGAATTGGCTTTATTTTGGCCAGCTGCCTCAAATGGAAAAAGCTTGATTTTACGACAGCCTTAATCTGACTGTCAAACTTAAAATCAGGGTCCACTTCAACCTCTAGGTTTGTGATGCATTTTTTGGTATACTGGGCCAAGGAACCCAGATCTACAGGGGGGTCCCAGTGGTGACACCAAAAACCATCACTTCTGTCTTTTTATCATTTAAATAAAAAAAGTTCAGAGCCATCCAGGCCTTTATGTCATCAAGACACTCAAACAACAGTCAAACAGAGTATTCATTGTTGATTGTCATCTTAAGTGGCACATAAATCTGACTGTCGTCTGCATAATAGTGGAATGCAATGCCATACTTCCTAAGTATTGAACCTAGCGGGAGCAAATAGAGAGAAAAGTGAGATACTGTGAGATATTACATCAGCTGTTTTAATTTGGCAACAAAAGACTGGAGAAGTTGTGAAATGCTCACTGTCCCAACTTTTATGAAGCATGTTGTAAGCTTCAAATTCAAAACAGGACATAACATTTGTTAAAAAAAAACAATGAAATTTCTCTGTTTGAAAATAGCACAAAGTAAATATTTGATCATATATGGGGTTTCAACATTTTGCAAATCATCAGATTCTGTTTATATTAACATTTTAAACAACGTCCTAACTTTTTGTAAACAAAGCCAGGAAACATATTTTTTAACGGGTGAAAAAAGAATTGAAACTCTAGTAGATCAAATGAAGAAACCGAACATGACCGTTTGGTATAATTAAGGTTTTTTCTTTTAAGTCAGTGGTTCTCTACTCCTCTAGCCTCAGGACCCACCACCAACTCCTCAGTGAAAAATCCCGACCCAAATTTATGATATTTTTCGACTCAGATTTATTTACAAGAAAATTGTGCAGTTTGGACCTCAGTGGGTACAAAACATGTGACAGAACTGAACAAAACAAACATGTTTTAAAAGCGCTTCACAGACCTTTTCACACAAGTTTTTTTTCCAGGCATTCACTGAAAATGGCTCCGCAACCTCCCTCTGGGTCCCAACAGTTGAGAACCACTGTTTTAAGGAAGACCAGGGACTCGGAGTGTGTGTGGTGGAGTTTGAAACCCCTGAACTTGAACAAAGATGTCTTCTTGTGTCCTCAGGTGAGACTGGTGTCGGAGCTGGGGAAGATCGAGGGCAGCCTGCAGGAGCTCAATAAGATGAAGGGGACGAAGACGGACGTTGGACAATACTCAATTGAAGTCATTGAGCTGTTTTAAAATATCAACAACTTAGTGTTTTTAGAATTTGTCTTCTTCCAACTTTTCACAGTCTTGTGCTCGCTCAACTCGGTTTGATTTAAAGTCTTAGACCGCCAGATCCAGGAGTGTTACCCTATATCAAGATAATTCATTATTTGGTTTGCATGATGAACTAAAGTTAAAATGATGCCAGTTAATTATGAATTGCGAGAGTGAACAGTTTTTTTTGTGTCCTTGCGCATCTGAATATTTGTAAATCTGTCTGCTGTGACTTTGTACTGTTTGACACAGGATGGCTTTTTATGTTGAATACAAATATATTACAAAATCAAAACCTTAATCCATGTCTGATTTATTTTTACTGCTTGATTACGTCACTTTTTCTGTCATGATAAAAGATCACACTGGTCGTACTAAAGGTGTTCTTACTTTTTACAAGGTCCCCAATGCATTTCAGTTTGTCTATTGCAATTTAACAACTACCGTACTTTGGTTCAAATCCTCGTGTGCTGTTCTGTTAAATAACTAGGGAAAATGTAAAGTTTGGATGTAATCGCCAACATTTAACCAAACAGAATCTGCCTAACATACCCCAGCTGGGCCTCACAACCACCTCCACTTCCCTCTCAGCAATATTACCCTTTTCCCTCATACCATCAGTACACTATGCCAGCATCAACTCCCACAGCGACATCAGTTGCCAGCGCACTTCAATCGTCACCAAAAATGGAGACAGCGAAGGGCGGCACTTGAAGACCAGGAGTGTGTAGCAAGAAGGGAGCTACCAAAAAAGCGGCGTTGCTAAGAGGACTACCACTGTGAGTGTAAATTATGTGGTCAGTCGAAAAGAAAAAAGCACTGGTCATACCCAGCTGAAGGGGAAAGTGGTACTGTTCAGCATCTGGACAGAACAACACAGAATGGAAAGAAGTTCTTCAAAAGTTATTAAAGTTAAAAGTTATTTATTGTTACAGTGTACAGTTTGAGTTGTTTTAAAGTTAAGATGTGTGAGAATTGTTTTTTTAGACAGAAGATGACTGTCCAGCATCTGAAAAGACCATTACAGAATGGAAAGAAGTTCTTGTAATGTGTTAGGAACTGTTTGAAGTGTTAGGACTTGGTAGGAAAGCTGCATCATGACGATGTTGTCGCGATGAAACAACAAAAATGTTTCTTGCGTTGTCGGCAGGATTCGAACCTGCGCGGGGAGACCCCAATGGATTTCTAGTCCATCGCCTTAACCACTCGGCCACGACAACAGTTATGAAACATGTGATGGAGTAACTTCTTAATGATTATGCGAATTTATCGTTATTGACGAGCTTTAATTGCTAACGATTTATTTGCTAGCTAAAGCTTGGTCTCGGTTTGTCAGCTGCTTTGAAGTAGCTCAAACACTTCCCATTCACGCGGATAAAAACACGATGACACTCAAAATGAATTTAATTCATGGGGTGTCTCGGGCCACCAGGTCAAGATTTCACCTCTGTTATTGATGTGATCAGGTGTTATGCCGAGAAATGCATCCCTTCCAAAAATTGCACGCACCTCGCGGAAGTGTTAAACACGGTATAAATCTGATTTTGGGTGGCAGATTATGTGATGACAAAGTATGTGAAGTTTATACTTTATAAATGTTAAGGGTCATTATTGTTATGTAGACTCGATAGAGGACGCATTTTATTAGCCTGCGTAAATATGAGCTGCAAACAGTGTTGACTCTGAAGTATCTGTAGAGGAAATTTTAATGATGGATGCAAAATTCGACTGTGTAGAAATAATGTCTGCCATATTTTGCACAATCCTGAGAGGTTAATGTATTGTCCCGGGCCACCTGGTCAAGATTTTACCTCTGTTATTAATATTTGGTTACATGTAAACAGGTGTTATGCCGAGAAAAGCATCCCTTCCAAGAACTGCATGCAGCTCGCAGGAAGTGTTAGAAAACGGTGCATTGCTCGGCCTAACATTACACCGGGCTAAATTGCAACAACAGATGAAATTGCGATGATTTGGTTAATGCAACTTGCCCATAAGACTCAACACATAAGTGTGGTTCCTTTTGGTGACGAAAATAAATTCTTAAATTATGCGAAATGCATTCTTGCATGCTTGCAATTACAACCACGAAACTGTGCGCTGTTAACTTTTTACGACGACTTATTATAACTGCATGTTCAGTAGAGCTCAACGTCGGAGGTATGCTTATTATTATCTTCTTGCTTCGCTTTTGCTGTGACGACGATGGCGACAGGGCCGACGATGAACGGTGATGTTTGCACGGATTGCACTGGACCCAGCTGCGGTTTAAACTGTCCACAAGCAGCAGCCGACGCTAATGAAGTACTACAAGGGGGGGGGGAAGAGTTTGCATGGATATCTAATTTTATGAACTAGCTCGGCAATTGCGTCTATTGAAGAATAGTGAGTCACGTGACCCCGCAGCCACTCAGGCCTGCTGGTGTGAAGTTAGAGGACGTAATCCCCATTTCCGGATGTGTTACAAATAAACCTGTCAAAAGTAAAGCGTTTAACATTATTTCTTTATGATTATAATGATTGAAATAAACTAAATGTGTTTTTTGTCGAGTTTGTAACTCACATAAGTCCTGCTTGATATAATTTCGTATTATTTATTTTATTTTATTTTGAAGGAATGATCGCTTCTTTTCCGGTGCAGCAACTGGTGTTTGTGGTTAGCTTGACGCAGCTCTGGGGCCTGCTGTGTTTTCAACGGAGGGAGAGCTGAGAAGAAAAATGGCGTCTGCAGGCGACCCAGAGCGGGACACCGGCCATTCAGTTTGAGCTTTCCACCCTGAAATTGAGACCGGGGCTTGGTGGGGAGTTATCGGGAACCGGCACCGGAACTGTTGGCTTTTTTCTTCCCCGCTTTTCTCCGGTGTGCGTGGCATACTCAAGCACCGAGATTGAAGCGGAACAGCAGATACACTCTCCTACAATGAGGGGGAGAAGAGGAAGGCCGCCCAAACAAGCTGCCATGATGCGGGAAGGTTCACCCGGGCCAGTCCGCGGCTCTCGGGGCGGCAGGAGCAGAGGGATGCGTGGACGGGGAAGAGGCAGAGGACGGGGTCGGGGAAGGGGAGCAAGCGTTGGCGTTATCGGCACTGGCTCTACGGAGGTAGATACTGAAATATCCGGCCGAGAGAACTTTCATTCGTCCCGGGGCCGCAGGAAAGTTGGAGCCTCTAGCTCGGCGGCGGCCGCGGTGTCGCGGGGCAGAGGAGGCAGAGGGAGAGGCAGGGGGTCGAGAGGCGGCCGCGGCAGTAGAGGCGGAGTGAGGCGGCCTCAAACTAAGGTGGTCTACGACGACAACAGCGACGAGGAGGACGATAATTTAAGCTACAGGTCGGACGACGATGAACTCCTGAACGACAACCCTTCGTCGGATCTTGAAGAAGAGGAGGCCTTGGGAAACGACTCTGACTATCTGGAGGAACTACCAGATGATGAGGATGCCAGCTACTGTACGGAGAGCAGCTTTAAGAGCCACAGCACGCTCGGTAGCACCCCAGGTACGTTGGTTTTGCAAGTGCACGCACTTTATCAAAGCAGGTGTGCATAACTTAAAGTGTGCATTGTATTTTTAGCTCAGTAGAGAAACCAAGCCGCATTGTTCAAAATGGAGCTTGCACTCAGAAACGGGCCTTTGTTTACTGTGCGCTCTGCTCAACGCTGGCTTGCAGATCTGCTCCACGCTTCAACCCACTCTCATGTGTTTGACTTTTGTCAGATCAGCACATTTTTTGTTGTCAATTTACAAATTAAGAATTAATTGGTGCTTTTTTTTTTGTCGGTGTTTTTTTTTTTTGGTTCGCTCTTATTGTAACTAGTCTTCCTACAGACGGAACATCCTGTATGGACTGTCTTTCACCTGACACTGATTTCATTCATTCAAAAATATCTACGTCTGAAATTCATGTTTAACTGAGATAAGCGCGATCAAAACACACACTTTGTTACATTTCAGGCCTTGTTTTACCCGGTTCATTATTTTACGTGTATTTTAAAGCTGCATGAAAGTTTTCCCCGCGGAATAAATGCAACTTTTAACCGTGATAATGTAATGTATTAAAACTTACCCAGCTGTAATGCAGGAGACGCATTAAAGTGGCACAATGCTGCTGATTGACTTTGACAGGCCGTTTTTTTGTTTTGAAGAAAGGCGCTTCCCCCGACCCCCCCCCCCTCCACTTGTTGCAAACAAGCTTGAACTCATTTCAATATTGCATGGTGCACCGTTACCATAGTAACCACTCCTGCGTTATCAGGTGAGCAAATTGGAGCCGTCACGTTCCCGCTCATGGAAGGTCATGTATGTTAATGATGGAAGTTGCGTAACCTGCCAAAGTCAAATAAGTGTGAGCTTCTCTGTGCATAGGAAAACAAACACGCCTGGAATACACTAAATTGAATTAGTTAAGTTATTATTTTACATATTCTTACTTTCTGCCATTAAAAATAGGGTCATGATTTTTCTCTTCAGTCTCACCTTTGCTTTTACGTGCTGGATGAAGTTCTCTCAGGAGAAACATTAGGCTGCAGATTATATTCCCCTATAAATCTTTGTTACAAATGTAAGTGGTTTAAGGATTACTCGCATACCTCTCTACATGCAGTGACCAGGCCGCAGATTTCTCTAAAGACACTTGAACATGGGAGCTTTGTGCAGCAGAGTGTGAAGGGTCAATCTTCTGACATTACAGTGCTTCCTGCCGCCATGTATACACACGCACACGTGCTGTGTCCAAACAAAGTGCACACACGCCTTGTTGACTCACATTATGTTTTTGATGCTCAACCTGTCGAGGTCAAACCCTGATCTGTGGCTGTCAAAGCCACACAGTTATACCACACCTTCACCAATTTCCTGTTTACTATAATAACAGTATCATAAGTGAATAGTTGCTGTACTTGCTGACTATAGAGATGCGTCTTGAACTCTTTAGAAATAGGGATAGGTCACGGGGTCAAGTCCAAAACCATCCGAACTCAATCAGACCCATCAGGTGTGTGGGATATTTTACATCATATTGTAAACAAAAGATAATATGGACTGTTATAAACAAGATAAAAAAAACTGGCTTTTAAATCAGATTTAGCCATTCCTCTTTTTCAAAATGTGACTTCTTAAATGTCACACTACTTTTAAAAACAACCCCATTATAGAATATTACCTGCTACTGATGTGTCACCAGTGAAATTTTGTATTTGAAATTGATAAGAGTGTGCATGCGTTGTGGTATGTAAATTATGTAAGGATACGGTTACTGTATATTTTGGGTGGAAAACCTTTGGGGTGTGAAGCTGTAGGGCAGGGAAAGATATGTTGGCCCCCTTGGATTAGTCTCATAGGATGATTATAGCTGCAGTGTTACTGCAAATCCAAGATTGTAGTAGAGTTGTCATGATATGAGAATTTTAAACTTTGATACCACAGCAACAAATAGAAGGGTCACTTCTGTTTTTTTTTAATGACCAAAAATGCAAGCATTCATAAAAGAATCGGCAAGGAGTCTGTACCAAAACGTTGTCAATGTTTGTGTGCAATATAAACAGTTACACATCCTCTGCTCTCTGTGTTTGTAAGATAAATAAACAAAACGTTTGCATCTTTGTGAGACACCAAAAAGACTTTAGAAACACCTAACCCTAACTCTGCCGACATATGAACCTGAATGTACCCCCTGCTGTTTTCTGCCTGAACAGCTTTCGGGTAAAAATATGACTGAAGCAACACTGATTCTGCAGCTCTGCAAACACATTCATTTTCTTTGTATGCACTGCTCACTCATGGCTCTTTTTCATTTTCTCTCCTTGCAGGCCGGAGAAGAAGCCGGGCCTTACGTCCGCAATCTCCCATCCTTGAGGCCAAAAACATTCCTCCCCTGGACCTTCCCAAATCCTCTGAGGACCTCCTGGTTCTCAACTCGCAGCTCCTTAATGTCTCTGCCGTGTACGAAGTCCTGCGCAACTTTGGCACGGTTCTGCGTCTCTCCCCATTCCGCTTTGAGGATTTCTGTGCGGCGTTGTCCAGCCAGGAGCAGTGCACGCTGCTGGCAGAGACCCACATCTCCCTCCTCAAAGCTATTCTCAGAGAGGAGGACACTTCCAACACCACATTCGGTCCCACCGACGTGAAGGACTCTGTCAACTCCACTCTTTACTTTGTGGACGGTATGACCTGGCCGGAGGTTGTGCGAGCGTACTGTGAGAGTGACCCGGAGTATCGGCACATTTTGCCTTGCCAAGAGGGCGAGGATTACCCGTATGAACCGTTGGAGAGCAAAATCAAAGTTCTCCAATTTTTGGTGGACCAGTTCTTGGCGACAAACATTGCCAGAGAGGAGCTAATGTCGGAAGGTGTGGTTGCCTACGACGACCACTGCAGGGTATGCCATCGCCTTGGCGACCTGCTGTGCTGTGAGACATGTTCGGCCGTGTACCATCTGGAGTGTGTGAAGCCGCCTTTGCAGGAAGTACCCGAGGACGAGTGGCAGTGTGAGGTGTGTGTGGCGCACAAAGTCCCCGGTGTGGCCGACTGCATCCCAGAAGTGCAGAGGAGCAAACCTTTCATACGACAACTGCCAGTCGGCTACGACCGACACCACCGCAAATACTGGTTCCTTAACCGCCGCATTGTAGTGTAAGTGCAAAATGTTTTTATGTTCCACAACTGTTGCAAAATAGGATTGTCACTATTCCAGAGTTTTACCCTCGATACAATACTGGTAAAAATGTAACAATATGGAAACATGTTTGGACAGCACAGCAACAAAAATTCAAGTCTTAGGCACCCAAGATTTCATAAGTTCCTGCACGCTGTCTAAACTGCACAAATACTTTTGCATCGTTCTGGTACCAAGTATTGCCAAGGAAAATCTGCAATTTAAACAGGGTCATCTCTTTTTGTAAGTTACATAAACTAACTTTTACATCTTTATGAGACGCCAAAAGTAAAGTATTTGCCAACCATGCATTTGAACATGGTGTATCTCTCTCTTTCGCTCGCAGCAGCTTTGGGTCAAAAGTATGGCCTAAGATCTGTTTTTTTTTTAATTAACTAACTAGTAACTTTTAATACTCCTGATCATTAGAGTAAGAGTTCGTATAATTTAAAAATGTGTGGAATCAAAAAGTATCAAACTATCGACCTTTTTTTCATCCTCTAATTCATTCAAGATTGACAATCTTGGTTAATCCCTGAGCATCCAAAGGACACGTATGTAACACCGATAACTCAAAAACAGAATTGCTCAACTCCAAACTCCACATTGTCAGAACTCTTAAGTGACATTTAATTACATTTTTATTCCCAAAGAAGTGTCGGATGTTCAAAGCTAGGCTTTATCCATCCGGAGGTCGGCTCTAGTGGCAGAGAGGGGGTCATGGTGCCTGCTTGAAAGAACTGCATCGACTAATTCATACTGAATGCAGTCGACTGTGTCAGATTTGAAAGCATGCTCTGGTTCTTACACATTAATAAGACTTTAAAAGCTTTTTTATTATGAGTGAAGAGTCATTCATTATTAGGCCTGAGATATAATCGGTTTTTACATCTGCACTCCTGAACATATCTTGATCAATACAGGAGCACTGCTCCGTAGATTCTCCTGACCTGGCTGTTCACATGTGCTACTCACAGTGGGAGACTATCCCTGTGAAACAGGCGGGGTGGCGGGGAGTCTCCTGAGGCAAGACATAATGCAGAAGTATCGGACGAAGCAACAGAGTCCGCTGTACGACGCTATAATGCAAATATCTGCCTTTATATCAATTCACAATATCAACAAAAGAGCAGAGAAGAACATACTGAAAACATAAAGCAGCAGTTAAATGATGTGCCCTGAGATCGCCCTGAGGTTGCATGCATACAGTATATGCACCGTGCACTGGTCACAGTATATATACAATATAAACACCACCACCCCTTCCCACTCACTCGAGGTGAATTCTCCAGATAAAATCCTGCTGAATTCTCACATCAGGCAGGGCTGGCAGGAGAAACTCCAGAATAAGTCAGAGTGACGTTTTGGCTGTTTGCATTCAAACATGCAAATATGAGGAGTTTTCTGCAACTGTGTTTACTTATAGTTAAACTTTTTTCTCATGCTTTAATCAACCCTCGATGCAACAGCAGGAATGTGTAAATAAATACATGATATGTATCATTGCTGCTCTACCATTTATTCTCAGAACAACCAAGTAGGAATGTCAAGATTTTCAAAACGTTGATACTGTTTGATTTCACATGTTTTAAAGAGATGCACTTTTATTGACGCGTCACACATTATTTTATAAGTACAGAAGCATTCAAAGAAAATACATCTATTTGTTAAGACAAGTACACAGGAGAGGAGTGAGTCCATCAAAAATTAGACGCAAACACCTGCACACTGCAAAATGTTGCCAATGCATTTGTGCTACTTAGACAGTGTGCTGGTGTTTGATACCTGTTTTGGGAGCCTAGGTCTTTCTTTTGCCGTTGTATCAAAGCAGGTGTTTTATCGATTGATTTTTACAAGATTTGTAATGAAGTTTAAAATTCTGGTAAAGTGACAAGTCTATAATTATGTGGTATTTATTTGTAGCGTTTAGCACAGTATGTTTTAATGGTTTTGTATCAAAGCACACATCTGCACTGTAGTTAATAAACCAAAAATAACTGCATCCCCCTGAAGTGTTTAACAAACCCTGACCATCAGCAGTATTGTTCCTGTACGTTTGAAAATGATCTTGGTGCGGAGCGGTCACAGATGTGTGTGTGTGTGTGTGTGTATGTATGCTGGATCAGCAGCAGCAGCAGGCCTGCCTCACCACACCTGACCATAAAGCAGCTCGGAGATCACCTAAACTATAAGATTTAAGAGGGCCGGTGGCAGGCTTTTTGTCATGTTTGCATTTCTCTCTCTCTCTCTCTCTCTCTCTCTCTCTCTCTCTCGCTCACTTTTCTGCTTCATCCTGCCCGCCAGTTTAGCCCCCAGCGTGCGTGTGTGCATGCGTACAAAGGAAAGTTTGTGTGTCTGGGTGTAAGTTGCTACGTGCAGTGAATGATGTGCACAGTAATAAGGTGTCACGGAGTGTGTGTGTGTCTCAAGTGCAGGATGCTAAATAGTCACCACTGTTTCATGGCCTCAGGCTTCTCAGTCCCTCTGCATGGACCGTGCTGCAAGCACTAGGCTGTCTTATAGTCCGCTCTGTAGCTGCTGCTTTTTAAACTCAAGTGTCCCAGTCAATGTTTTTGTTGATGGCTGATAGAAAATCATTTCAAGAAGTTGGAGCTGCCTCTCTGCCTTTATGTGTCTGCTTCTTTGATACAGGGAATGTTTATCAAATCAAACTGGATAATTCTGCAGCTCCTCATCAACAAGACAAAACTTTCCTTTGTTGACGGTTGAAACTCTCCTCGCTCCCGTTTTCAGGAGTGGACCGTTTTTGTTAAATTTAGTGAAAGAACTGCTTAATCATCACTCTGCATGATAAGTACAATACATTTAGTCTCATAAAAGAAGAATAAACGCATCAGACTCAGTGTGCAGGTGGCTGTGCGCAATGTTATTTATTTGATTACGGATCCAAAAAACACATTCGAAGAAAATGGACTTGTGTGCAAAGGCCTTTACACATCGGTCTGTGCAGCATTATTTGCAGATGTCTTGATTTTGTCAACGGGGCCGATATTGGTGCATCACTGATTATTGTCCCTTTAGCATCCAGTATGGATGTTTTTCAAGCTGTGTCTATAAAGTGCTGAAAACACAAGTTATAAAAAGGATCCAATAAAAACACTGTAACCTTCATTCCCCCACATACTCCGTGCATTTTGAAATTGACCGGACGCCCTGTGTGTTTCCCTGCCTGACTTCCTGTCCGGGTTGTCATATTCTGTCTAGCTTGCAGCATACTCTGTCAAGAATAGACTCGCAGCATATTTGAAACGGAGCAGAGTGTAGTGGCGCTGCTGGCACAGTCTGGAGACGGACCGCGGTGCACACTGTGGAAACACAATAATTGACTAGAGTGGCAGTAAACGGCGGTGTAGTGCATGCCGCTGACGGACAGCGGCGTATATAGGCCTTATACGGCATATCTGCTGTTCCTGCCAAAAGTTTGAAACATGAAAATTCTTTGTGGACAAAAGGTCATCCAGTAGAATTTATGCACAAAACGGCACACAGAGTGCAAGAACATGTACAGCAGGTATTTTCCATTCTGATCCTCTTCATTTTCCTGTTTGAGTCCTTCCCCTCGCCTAATTTCTTTTCCTGCTGTCTCCCCTGCAGCGAGGAGGATGGCGAGCAGGAGGACAAAGCCATCTGGTACTACAGCACCAAGGTAAATGCTACTCATCGTTTTCCCTTCCTGTGGATAATTCATCATAATAATTACATTTTATCAGGATCTACATGTTAACTAGAGGACTAACTGATGTAACCCTTCCTTATTTCTGCTCATCATAGCCATGCTGAGCAATCCTTGTTCTTTCTTTAAATTCACAAATACATCCAAACTTTCCCGGAGTTTAGCAGAGCAGCTGTGGTAGCATTGAGCTAATGTTTTGTTTTGACTCTCCAGGTGCAGCTAGCCGAGCTCATAGACTGTTTGGATAAGGAGTACTGGGAGGCCGACCTGAATGCAGCGCTGGAGGAGATAAGGGACGAGGTGCACGCACACATGGACATCAGTGAGGACCTCACCAACAAGGCCCGTGGCAGTAACAGGTGTTACCTCACAGCCGCCAACGGTAAAAAGCTTTATACATCTTTCCTCTGTTTCATTAGATAAATCAATGAGGACAGTTCAGGGGGGATTTCTGACAAACAGTTCAGTCTTGTCTGGCTGTGGGAAAAGAATCTGTTTCTTCCCTCTCTCCGTCCTTCCACTCCTCTGCTTGATTTCACACTGAATGCCACCCAGTCATAGAGCCATAGGAACCAACCCCGCCATTATGTAACCTTACTCTGGGCTCAGTTTGGCCAGAATCCAGCACATGAGTTTCCCTTCAGCTCCTCATCCGGTCTCTTCGGTCTGAGTGTGTCGGCTAAATCTCTGTGTCTTCTTTGTGCCTGCTGTGTCTGAAATTCTGAAATGTTGCAGCAGAGCAGATTTGCGTTTAAAAGCATTTAGTCAGATGTGCAGGGCAGAGGTGCTTGTAATTAAGATTTATAGTTCTCCGCTTTGAGTAGGGTTGCAGAGCGTGGTGTGAGGAAACGGCTTGTGAGGTAACATCAGAAGGTAGAAAAATACAAACATAAAGGAATGAGTGCCAGCTTTTGTCAAAACCCTTTCAGACTGGTAGCAGCGGTTTAATCAAGCATGTGATTCTTCAAGATTTATATGTAAGATTTTCTGACCTGGAAAGTTGGGCAAGACACTTAACCCCATGTTGCTCCTGCTGCTTCATTGTTGGTGTATGAATGATATATTTATGGCAACCTATATATTTTTTTGTTCTTTTTTTGGATTTGTTTCTGGGATTTTTGTGCCTTTTATTGGAGAGACAGAACAGTGGATAGAGAAAGTGGTGAATGACATGTGGGACAGGAGCCAAAGGTCGGATTCAGACCCTGACAGCCCGCTTGGAGGACTACAGCCTCTGTAAATGGCTATGCGCACTAACAAATGAGCCACCAGCGCCCCTCCACCACCTACATCTATTTGCTAAGAAATGCATTCACATGAGGAAATATTAATCTGCTCTGTTTTTTGGAATAAACAAGATACCCGTACCTCAAAATCCCAACAGACGGTCTAATTCAGTCCACTGAAAGCAACAGACATCCATAGTCTGTTTAATTTAACCCAGTCTGGGTTAGTCCCGTCTGCAAAATAAGTTATGCTCGCACTAACACTTAAACCCACAGTATGTAAAATCAGCCACCAGGGGGCTCTCAATCAAAACAATAACAAAAGATGACATCATGCCTGGAGGGAATCATTGGCGTGATAGTGATTCTTTCTGCAACTCCCCCTCTCCCCACCCCCATAAAAACGAACTCTGAGTTGACTGTGGTTGTGACGACCGTGCGAAACCGACCTGAGGAAGAGAATATGTTTACCAACGAGCTAATGTATCAAAGTATAATTCACATGACGTTTTTATCACAGCAGCACATACAGCAACAGTACGGCAGCTTTAAGTAGCAGCTCACGCTTCCTTATGCTGCGGTCTTTGACATATCATCCGCTGTTTCCATGGCAACTAGAAGCATATGGCGGCCGGGGCGTTACAACTATAAAATGACAGATTTCTCTGGCTTTGATAACTGTTGGAAATATTTGAGGTAATGTAAGTACTCAACAAAAAGAACATATCACAAATGTTTAGTCCTTACCTAATTAATTAAGATATTTTGTGTAAAATGTGTAAAAAGTCTACATATTAAACCTTTAAACGAGCTGATCTCACCTGTTTTATATATCATTAAATACTCGGTCTGCTATGTTCTGTTGTTGACTCCTTATGTGATAATCTTAAAATCCCATTCATAATCTAAACCCTTCATGTCGTTAGTCTCACAATATTTCTCTGCCTCCAGAGGAGATCCTGGACCGGCTGCGGGCTAAGAAAGAGGAGGAGCTGGAGGAGGTGAAGAGACGGGCCGCTGAGGAGGCACGGCTGGAGAGGGAGAAGAAAGAGTTGGAGGCGGAGAGGGAGAGGGAGAATGAGGAGGTCAAGGTGAAGGAGGAGGTGCAGCAGGATGGCAAAGAGCTGAGGAAGGAGGAGGAGACAAAGGACAGCGGCTGGGAGGAGAAGAGCGGCCGCATCAAAACTGAAGGTAATGACAATGAAGTTTATGTTTCATGTAGCATCAGAAACACTTAATATCAGTATAGATGCAAGAAGAGCTGTTTCTCTGGGTCTCACTTGCTGCACTCGCTTGTGTTTGTGAGCCTTGAAACAAAAGGAACATCATCACAGCAGTGTAATTAGTTATTGATTGAAGAATCAATCTGCACTTATTTGGCTCTTAGACCAATTACAAGTGCTGTGCTCTGTTTTGTTTTTTACAAGGCACAAGTTTGAAGCTCTCCCAGCACGTTAATTAAAATCTTTGTCTTACACAGTGACATAAAGAGGCCTTATAGAAAGAAAAAGAGAATAATTAAACAGAGTCTCTTCTAATGATCCCTGAGAGCATTGTGGACAGAAGTGTCTGTACGTTGTCTCATCAATACAGGATTGTATTCATCTTTACAGCAAGTTTGAATCACCTCAGAGGTGAGGACACATTTTAAAGGTTAAATATCGCACGATCACAACTCCTGCAAGGTTTGGATGTTGTTTAAAATGTAAATAAAAACAGAAAGTGAGGATTTGCGAAACAGAAACACCGTATTTGTTGGAAAATAGAAGAAAAACAACAAATCAAATGTAGAAAGTTTGATTGATTTTGTAAAATGATGAGCCCAGTTTCAATTTGACGCCAGCAAAAAGCTTCACAAAAGTATGGGCAGCGACAACAAAAGACTGAAATGCTTAAAACAGTGTAGTAGTTAAAGAGTCCAGGTGATAAACTGGCCTTCCTAAACATTTAAAAATGTTTAGAGCATTATGAAGCGTAAAATTAGAGAAATGGGACCTGAACTGTTGAGCAACTGAAATCCTACATTAGGCCCCGTGTCCACCTAGCATTTTATTTTCGACGCTGGCTGTGCGCTCGGGAGTGTTTGCATGAAGTGTTTGTACGCTGAGAAGAAAAGTGCTGCACGTCTGTCCTGTCTCTATGACAAAAGTCTGCTGGGGCGTTTTCTCCTGCGAACGCTAGTCTCTCCTCATTGAAAACAATTGAAAAAAAGACGCTGGCGTTCAGAAAAAAACGCTAGGTGGACACGGGGCCTTAAGCAAGAATGTTTTAAGAGAAGAAATGATGCAGCCGAGTGGTAAACATAAATGGTTTTCTGGCATTTAATTTAAAAAAACGCAACAACTTTTCTCAGTTTCAATTTTCAATATGTTGCCTTTGTACGATTTTAAATCTGTTTCTGGGTTTAACTTTGTAATCGACTTTCACATTTGGAGATCTTGTCAACAATCAACCGTCACTACTTCTCTCCATTGTCTCTAAAATGTTTTCTTCAATAACTAAAATCAACAATACCTCCATCATTGCTGCTGTTCATCTGTAGTTGTTGAAGCTCCATCCACTGGCCATGAAGGCAGCGGTGGGTGTAGCGTCTCAGAGGGACCTTTACCAGCAGCCCCCGCTCCGACACAAACCACCCCCTCCACCGATAGCTATAGGCCGGCCCCCGAGGTGCCAAAGCCCAAGGTGTCCACCTTAAAGGCTCTGATAGGGGGCGGTTCCCATACGGAGGTCTCTAACTGCACCAAAGGTAAACATGGATATTCTCAGGTTGAAGTTTGCCTCATTGAGCTGTCGCTGGGCATCTGCTTACTCACAGGATTGTGTGATGCATCTCAAACGCCTCTCATCACCCATGGCTTGTTTTCTCCACCACATGCCGCCCGCTTTAATGCTTCTCTCAAGTGTTTCCCAGCCTGCCGCCTTGCATGTGGCTCTCACTCCATCTGCTGGCGTTTGTGTTGAATAATCCACAGGGATGTGATGCTTCTGACCTGGAAAGTCAAGGCAGAAGAGTCTGGCGCTATGATGACATTTTTTGCCTTCATATAATTTTTATGTGTAGTTTGACACATTCACAATTTTTAAAGTTATTTTTTGGGCCATTTTTGCTTTTATTGGATCTGACAGCTGAAATGACACAGAGAATAAATAATACATCCTTTTTTATTTTTAATTATTTTTACTCTTATCTTCGTATTATTTTAATATTAGGGATCTTATCAAATGAGTTTTTCCTCTAAATGAATTCAGTTCTTGCAACAAACAACTTTAACCTGCTCATTATGAATAAATAAAAACAAGTCAGAAATATACTTGGGCGGTCCTTCCCGGTATCATCTGTGTGGGGGAAACACTACATAACTATGGTGCCCCTTACCTGATGGTCCAACGATTATAAGAGTTTAAATTAAAACAGGTTTCAGCTCAAGAAGAATAGATATTCACAACCCTGAATCTTATGTTTTATGTCTTGATCTGGCTACAACCCTGGAACCCTTTCAGCCGCTTTACACTAAAACTCAGAAGCCTTTTTTTTTTTTTTTATGGCCCTCATGCTGATTGCCTGGATTGTTTTGCAATCAGGTTGCATTGTCGTATGAGGCCATGTGACAAGAATCGAGGATAATGCGAGGCAGCATTTCCATAACTTTAAAAAACCTGTTCTTCTTCTGCAGGCTTGTGTTCAGTAATGATCTGCACACATTCATCCTTAATTATATCTGAGCTGCATCATTAATTGTTTCTGCCTGTGTGGTCATGTGTGAACGAGCCTCCTTGCCTTGCCTGAACTGGTCGCCCATTGCTTTCATTCAAGCCATCCCTGCACTTGAATTATTTATGGTGCATGAATTACACATGACTTGTCTGTAGAGGGAGCCACAGTCTTAACTGTTTCAAACAGGAAAGTTTCTGTTTTCATACAGACAGAGCTTTCACTGGTGCACAATGTGCTTTTTACTGGTCGCTGTGAACGGTTTTGATGCTCCAGTTTGTCTTATTTTCCATGTTGAGTCTGGTCTCACACCGGTGGAGCATTAACACAAACCATGAATGACAACTCAGATGATGACACAGCCAAGGATAAACAGTCATTTCTCTTTGTGATGGTTTGCCTCTGTTGCAGAAACTCCGCCATCCGACTCGGTCCCTCCCGGTGGAAACGGCATCCCCAGCCTGAGTCAGCCCTCCCAGACCAGTGAGGAGAACAGTAACAGCAGCGTGGGAGCTGCGGTCCCTCCCAGAGGACCCGAACCTCCAGACCTCGCCGACAAGTCCTCCCAGTCATCCCTGGCCAGCTTTGATGACACAGGTCTAACTGAACACTGCGTCATAACTTCCTGTTGTTTCATTGTTGTGTCACATCTGTCTTTAACGGCAATTTATATCACAGTTAATAAAGCACAACAATATGTGTCATGGTTTCAAATCAGCTTCCCAGCGTATGTTACTAATATGTTAGGGTTTTGAGCTTCTCAACTTAAGTCGTTTTCAAATACAGTATGCACTCCTGAAAATATACAGATGATTTCAGGAGGACTGCTACGGAGATTCTCCCAACCTTACTGTTCATATACTCTCCTAACAGCGGGAGACTATCTCTGTCAGTCGGGAGGGGGGAGGGGTCTCCTGAGGTAAGGAAAAACAACGGGGAAGTAGCGGACAAAGATCATGACCTGATACAGTAACCGTGCAATGCTGACATGAAACCAGGAAAACTATTGCATAAATATCCTCTAAGTTGCAGGTTCCGCTTACAAATTTTACATTAAAGTTTAAACAGAGTAGCAGCAAATTTAATGTCACAGTGTTCTGTGAAAAGTAAAGCAACTCTACAACTGCTTTATATCACTGACAAGAAGGCAGTGCTACTGAAAATCTGCTTTTGTTGACTGAGCCATGCTTTGTGCTTCCAGGGGACTGCAAAGACTCAGCCAACGGTGACACGCCAGGTCTCGGCGGGAAGAAATCAGCCGCCACTCGGATGGTGACTCGTCTGAGGAACCCGGAGAGCAAGCTCAGCCAACTGAAGAACCAACAGGTGGCTGCCGCCGTTCACGAAGCAAACAGAGGCTTCAAAGAGGGCAAAGAGGTGACGAGAGCCGTCATGGAGGACAGAAAGTTATTAAGCGCTTTCTGACAAAAAAAAAAAAAAAAAAAAAAAGACTCCACAGTGTCTGACACAGTGAGGGAACACAGAACAGGACAACTTATGAATGAAAATGAGGATTCAAACCTCAGACGGGAATTCATTATTTAAAAGACTATCTTACAGAAATGTCCTGAACTACATTTTTGCCTCGAAACATTTTACCCTTTGAGGAAGAACACGATTACACTGGCGGATGCTTTTTATACTCTGAGCAGCTATGTTTCATATTAATAATTCATTGTTCAATGTTTCAGTCATTAATAAATCCTAAAGACTCACATTTATTCTTTCTTCCTGTCCAGGTCATAGTCGTGAATGCACAAGGTGACATCACTCGTGTCAGCACACGCAGCAGTAAGGACGTGGTGATGAAGGGGACGCTCAGCCAGTTCTTCAAGCTGGGCCAGGAGGGGAAGTACCGCGTCTATCACAACCAGTTCAGCTCCAACACCGTGGCCCTCAACAAACACCAGCACAGAGAGGTAAACAGCACCACATCTCCTTTTTTTTATCCTCTGAAAGTCTGTTGATGTTTTAGCAACTGTTTCTCTCGCTGTTATTCAGACATTAATACACTCTTGATCGAACTGAACGCACTGACATTTAAAGAGCTGGTTGACTTTAAAACTAATCAAATCATGAACAGGGTTTAAAATCAACAGTGAGGAGATTTTGGCTTGTTATCAAAAAGACTGAAATTCATACTGATGCCTCTACAACAGTTGTTCTCAAATGGTCTAGACTCAGAACTGAAGACCAAATCCTTAATGCCATGACATTTTTCAACCAATCAGATGAATTTAAAAGACTCAATCAGTAAGATGTGTAGTGAGTGAAATGATAAAGTGAGCTTACTATATGATCAGACATTAAGGAAACACGCTATGTTGAAGTGGTGGCTTCTCTGACAACAATGCAGCAGCCAGTATGTCCTCCTTCTAACTTTAGAGTCTGGTCCTGAATGCTCTGGATTTGTTTGGACCAGAGAAGGAAGGGGGTTTTAAGGCAACCCCACACGGCCGTTTTGGACGCCCCTCGGTTTGCCAGATATGAGAGCAGTTATCAGGTCAAACCAACAGGTGTTGCAGTGATGGAAGCGGGCAAGAGAACTGGTTCAGATAGAAGTGATTGTACCCGACCTAAAAAGCCTCTGCATGTTTCTAATAAGCTCCACGAGCAGAAACGTGCTCAAACTAGGATCAATATTGGAGATGCTTTTGAAAAATGGAGAGAGGTTAGAACACAGAAAGGTTTACAGACCGATGCAGAGCTGGCTAAACACTGAAGCTTCAGTGTCCACCACATGACAACCTGTGTGAGCATCGACTCCAGAGAGGAGGGGGCGGGGGGAGACAGCTCTCTAATGTTTTGAATTTGGACTGCAGTACCCATTTTAACCACTAGGTGTCAGAGTTACATATTGCTCCTTTTAATGATAGATGGTGTTGTTTGGACTCAAGATGGTACTAAACATGAGACAGAAAAAAGGTGTTTCATATGTCTTAGTTTAATTTCTGACTTATTCCTCCTTTTTTGTATTTTCATCAGGACCACGACAAGAGGCGGCACCTCTCCCACAAATTCTGCATGACACCAGCAGGAGAATTTAAGTGGAACGGGTCGATTTACGGCTCCAAGGTTCTGACCATCTCCACGCTGAGGCTCACCATCATCCAGCTCGAGAACAATGTTCCAGCACCGTTTATGCACCCAAACTGGGCATCACACAGGTACAGAGCAGAGTCGGGCACTTTCACACAGAAATCATGAACTAAAGTTCTTGGGCAGCTTCCCTTTATGTTTTTACATGGACTGTCTTATGTGGATTTTAGTGGTTTAAGTTGTCACTCATGCTGAAATCTGAGCCTTTCAACCATTAAATCACTGTATCTGTAAAATGAACGGTGTCAGATTTGAGGCATTTCTCCTGTGATTAAAAAAACAAAACATGAAAAATACATTTTGAGAGAGGGTTTTAACATGTTTTATGTTTTCTTGTTTTGCAGGACAAATTGGATCAAAGCGGTTCAGATGTGCAGTAAAGCCCGAGAGTTCGCGCTGGCTCTGGCCATCCTGGAGTGTGCCATCAAACCTGTAGCTATGCTGCCTGTCTGGAAGGACTCACTGGGCCACACTAGGTACGCACACAACTCATAAATAGGGTGTCAACAAGCATACTAAAGTCATAAATCTGTAAACTAAAAATTCCTGAAACTAAAAAAACAAAACAAAATAATAGATCTCTGATCCCTCCACATATTCAGTTTGAATGCAAAACATTGAAATACTTGTAAATAATATGTCAATAAAACTCAAACAAGCATTGAGGGCATGCACACAGGGGACGTGTGGTCAGAGGAGATCATAACCGAATCAGATCAAACGGCCCACCCGCGCTGTGAGGCATAATATTTATACTGCAAGTCCACTACCAGCACCACCCACCTCTGCTTCTGCTCCAACACCACAACGGCTCCTTTAGAGAGGAGACTGTCCAACATTTTACAGGGTCAGGACCTGACAGAGAGAGAGAGTGTATGTATGTGTGTGTGTTAAAGTTAAAGTTAAATCAGGGTATTTATCATACTTCTCCATAACTTAAACGAACTTTTACAGAAAACTGTTTTACAGAAAAAAACTAAGAAATGTATACAGATTTGAAAGTGATCAGTTAAATTTTAAAGGTCACATATCCTCCTCCTCTTCAACCAGATTAAATAAGTCTCAGAACTCCCCAAAACGTGTGTGAAGTTTCTTGTTCTAAATCCACTCTGATCCTGTATTTGATCATGTCAATAAATTCTATTTCAGCCCTGCTCAGAACAGGCTGTTTCTGTGTCTGTACCTTTAAATGTAAATGAGCTGTGTCTGACCACACCCCCTCTCTGAAAGGGCTCGGGTGTTTCGGGCTTTCTTGCTCCATGTCCTATTGTTTACGGTGAGAAGGGTTACTGCCCTTTGTGATGTCATGAAGGGAAAATCTCCAAACGGCCTGTTTGAGAACACATTTACTGAAAAGTAGAGCAGGTAAAGGGCAGAGAGGATGGACTTTTCTCATCATTAATGGGGGTTGTAGACAGACTAGGGACACATATTAGTGTAATGAAGAAATAGTGAAGTGTATTTAGCATAATATGTGACATTTAAAATCTATTCTAAAACACACAGGGAGTCAGTGTAAAGATGCTTAAACATGAGTGATGTGGTCGTGCTTTCTTGTTCTGGTTCAAAGCCTGGCAGCTTACCTCGGTACCGTCTGGGGTCGATCATCAGATTTTAGACTCAGGCAGGTAAAAACGTTGTTACACTAACTGAGGGACGATACGATAAAAGCTGCTCGAGTCTTTCAGAATTTAGAAATATTTCTAAGATGTTTACAAACTTTGTTGTGTGCTATTCAACATTGAAGTCACTGTCAAAACAGATGCCAAGATATTTTGCTGCAGGTTTGTACACACACAAATTCAGACCGAGGCAGGTGTGCTTCTTTGTTAAATAAAGACAGTTTGTTACTGGTCCTGACACCAGTCGACGTAACTGATCGACAACACAAACGCTTGTTTTTAGGTTAAACCGTATGACATCCATGGAACGAGAGGAGAAAGAGAAAGTGAAGAAGAGAGAGAAGAAGCTGGAGGATGAGGAGACGCTGCAGCAAGCCACCTGGGTCAAATACACCTTTCCAATTAAACACCAGGTGGGTCCCACAAGTGCCGACACAAAATTTCTTTCAATATAATTATCTCAAACCGGGCATAACATTGAGCCAGTATTTCAAAAGTGTATATTGTTTGCCATGTATGCACACATGTAACGACAGTGTTTTGATCTCTATGTAATGGTTTGGTTGAATTTCAAATTCAGTCTTTAATGTCTGGATATTTGTCGACTAACCTGAAGGAACCGAGTGGGGGGAAAAAATAAGGAGTATTTTTAGGGCCCATGGCTGACAGGGGCTCTAAATAATTTTAGGACCTCACATTTCTCAGCATTAAATCTGCTGTGAGGAGTTTTCAAGGGTATCAAAATAATCTGAAACAAGTATTGATGACTATATATGATCTACAAATGCAAATGAGACCATCGGTGGTCAACATTGATTATTTCATATGGGGGGGGGGGGGGGGGTGCTGTTAGACGATACGATTACAAACATAAACTTTTTTTAATATTTTCATGCAAGACATTCAATGCGAGTTATTTTCCTGTTTTCCTTGTTTTTCATGAAGGTGTGGAAGCAGAAAGGAGAGGAGTATCGTGTAACCGGCTACGGGGGCTGGAGTTGGATTAGCAGGACTTACGTGCAGAGATTTCTCCCCAGGCTCCCCGGCAACACCAACGCCAACTACCGCAAAGAACTAGAAGGTGTGAAGAGCCACATATGTCTTTCTGTATTTGTTTTGTCCTAATTTGAGACTCTTAATTTAATTTGTCTCAAACATGTCACAGTTTGTGTGGACTGACATGCAAAGAATCATCTCTTGGATTTGATTAATTAATGAGCCAGGACTGCCCAGACCCGACCAAAGTTTTCTAAATTTTTGTCCAAATTTGACTTGAGTTGATCAAAAAGTTAGACTACAACGGGGCTGCACAAAAATGCCTTTAAGTTAACTTTTTAAAGAATTGTTGGGTTTTCTTCAAATTACCTTCATTAGTTAAGATTGTTGGAGCTCTTGGTGGTTTTTAAACGTTTGCTGTCATTGTGTTTCCAAAGATGCTAAACTTGGCAAGAAATGTACACTTCTGGACCTGAGCCGCCGGCCCAGCGTAGCTGCAGCCGAGGCTCAGGAAGTCACTGTCCCAAGCAGTGAGGCAAAAGTTGAAGAATCCTCGAACCTCTCCGAGCCCGCAAAAGATCGTCTGACGTCTATTGAAGACTTAAAGTCTGGTGAGAGGAATGAAGAGGAAACTAAAGATGGGACCGTTGTTAAGGAGAAGTCTGCGCATGAATCGCCCGAAAAGATGGAGGTGGATCCCACACCGCCGCCGTCGTATGAAGAGCCAAGTAAGACAGAGTGACAGTCACAGCTTTATGTTTAAGTGCATGTTGAGTTTCACTTAGTTTTTAACCTGTGATAAAAACTAGTGCTGTCAATTGATTACAACATTAAAAAAACAGAAGGAGCTGTGATTATTTTTGGTTAAAAAATACTTCACGGGTTAAGGTTTCCAGATTATTCAGATGCGTTTACGCGTCAACGTTGACACCTCTAAATATTAGACAATAACTTTGAGTCAACTTGATTGACAGATATTGTAAGGAGGACGTGATGCAACTCATTTTTATGCCACTGCAGAGTCAAAATCACATTTTCTCTTTTTTCCAGGGTCCAGCATCGAGGAGGCGTCCATGAAGGAGGAGCCTGCAGATGAGCCTTCACGGCCTTTCAACTACGATGTTGTGGATGTCAGCAAGGGCTTCCTCACACGCATCGCCTACAAGAAGAAGGTCAAGTCCTCCAAGCTGGACATCCTGCTGGAGCGACGGGTGAAACAGCACGTCATCGAAGAGAGGCAGAGGCAGCAGGTGTCTGCCTCCAACCCTATGACTTCTACGTCGGCGTCATCCACTCCGACCCCGGCGTTGAGCACTCCGGTCCGGCCACGGTCGCCACTCAGGCCCCACAACCTCACTCAAAAACAGCTCGCTCTGGGAGAAGCTGTGAAAGTGACGGAGAAACCCTCCATAACGCAAACTCCAGAGCCAGGAGACGGTGGAGAACGACTGGTTGGAGGAGGGGAGGGTCAGTCTGAACTCTCTAAAACTGCTGATGAGAAGGTCACTCCTCCTCCTCCTTCTCCTGCTCTGGGCTCCACACCCACAGACAGCAGTAGTACAGGTACAGGTGAACACTCAGTGTCACCACAGACCACCTCCACGCCTCAGGGATTGGAGGCAGACTTGGTGGAAAGGACTACGGGGCCAAAAGAAAAAAATTCAGACATTTCAGGGAAAGAGGGGGTCAAACTGCCTGACGTACAAGAAACGAACACGGGGGGAATTCTTAGCTCAGCCGAGGTATCATCAGATGATACCAAAGCTGCACATATTGAAAATACGAGGTTAAAAATGGACTCGGTAAGGACTTCCACTAGTGTTCTTGACCAAAAAAACAGTCAAAACACATCTCCTTCTAAACTAACTCAGCAAGAAGCTTTAAGCTCAGTGCATTCAGAGGAAAATGGAATGGGGCCGGAGGAGAGCCAAGGCATCAAACAAGGTCAAACCGACGCTGTAAGCACTCCTGAGCCTGCTTCTCCTCTCCCTCAGGTAAACGGTAATGACGCCATCGGGAGTGAACTGAGTAACTCTGTAGTGAGTGCAAATAACGGCGTCCTTACCAACAGCTCCCAGCTCAAGGTGAACAACGTAGGTAAAGGTGAAGAACAAGGGCTGGGTGTCTCATTGAATGACAGCACGCAGCAGAAGCCTCTGGTGAACGGGGATGTAGCCCGTGTGAATGATTTTACTGAGGTCGGCACCAAGGAGAGCAAGTCGACGGCGTCAGACGAGGACTACAAACCTCCGCCGAAGGTGCTGCGGCTAGAGAACAACATAGATGCACTTGGAGGAAACACACAGAGCACTAAACAGCACGACAGCACTTCCCCGACCAAACCCAGCTCAGGGGTCAAAATCATCAGAATGGCGCCGTCTCCTATTCCCTCAGCGGAGGAGTCCAGTCTGAGCGACGACTTTGCAGAGGAGAATAGTAACAGTGGGACCGCAGAGACCATCGTCACCCAGGTGACAACGACTGCAACGACCACCACGACTGTTGTTTCCACCCAGACGAGGACGACCACCAAGGTGTCGCCGGCTGTTCCCGGAGAGACGGGGACAACAGAGAGCAGCGCCGTGTCCACGCTCACCACCATGACAAAAACAACGGTGACCAAAATCTGCTCGTCTGACGGGCAGTCCGACGACAGCCAGAGCGAAATAGTGACACAAGAGGATAAGCTCCTGGCCTCCGTCAGGAAGTCAACGACCAACATCAGAGGGGAGACCTCAGTGAGCCTCGAGGACTACTCGTCGACAAAAGGTCGTGTCCGCCTCCTGAAGTTCTCCCGCACCAAGAAGACGCGTTCGGACACCGCCCTTCCCTCGTACCGCAAGTTTGTCACCAAGAGCAACCGCAAGAGTATTTTTGTACTGCCGCATGACGACGTGAAGGTGCTGGGGAGGAGGGGAGGACTCCGGGAGGTTCCAATATTTAGCTACAACGCCAAGCCAGCGTTGGATATTTGGCCGTACCCTTCACCGAGGCCCACCTTTGGCATCACCTGGAGGTAAAAGCGCTCTCTGTTTACTTTTTTCAATACTCAAACTACAAGCATTTTTCAAAGTTTTCATTCTGCTATGGAAGTACGGCCGTTTCTTTTTTTTTTTTGTGACCTGCGGTGTGAAAGCGCAGTACTGAAAATTTCAACAACTTAAGAAAATGTTACATATTGTGTACCGTATCGCATGCGGCATTATAAGTGTCAGTTCCTGTTGATCTCCTCTTCTTCCTCCCTCCCCTCTCTGCTGTCGTGGCTTTGGCTCTGAGCTCGGTGTCACACCAAGACTCTTCTGATTATTTCGACCAGGCCTCAGAGTTAAGAAGCTGCCTTGAGTCATTTAGCGGTCGGAGAAGTGTCAGGATGTTCACTGCGCGCTGACCCAGCCCTGGAGGCCAGGGATGTTTTACCGCCTGTGGTTACACATGGGACAGGGAACATCCACCAAACCTGACGCACACAGCCTTGTGACCGTCGTGTTTTTGTGGATGTTCAAGATGTTTTGAAATGACCGGGGTCCTTTTGTGCCAAGTTCATTGTCAGAACAGCCACAGTGATTCACAGAAGGAACATTTCTTCTGAAGGAAAATGTAGGAATTCATTCATGATGGATGACATCCTGTAGACTAATTAAACACTCTGTTACACCCAAAAACAAAAAGTCAGACAAAGCCCCTGTGAGGAATTTTCTCTGGTTATGAGACCGACTTAGAAGAATTGTGATGTGTCTTCATGAACTACTAAAGCAAACAAGACCCAAATAACAACATTGAATCTTCCTTTAAGTATGGTACTTTTTAAACTCCTGAAGCCACACTTTTCACGGCAAAGATTTGTGACCAGTGATATGTTTCACTGTAAAAAGAAAGCAGGATACATTTTTAGTTTAAAAAAAAAAAAAAAAACAGTGCTGGGGGGTGCCAGTAGACTAGTGGTTAGTGCGCCTGGGTTCGACCTGTGTATCTGCATGTTGTTCCCCAATCTCTCTCTGCCCCCAATATCTTACTCTTTCCACTGTCATGTCTTAAAAAAGGCCCAAAAAGCCAAAAAATAAACCTTAGAAAAACGAAAAAAACTGTTCTGTAAAGACTTTTTACAGAACATCAGAAAAGAGATGCAGGTACCACTCTGTCCACAGGGGGCACCAAAATCAGAACACAACACGGAATTCCTCACAGGAATTTAAAATTGAAATGGACCAAAACGAGATATGCATAAGCTCTGAATTTAAACTTTGAGATAATGCGTTTTCCTCAAATAAACTTGAATATAAAGTGATTTATTAAAGATGGTTGTCTGTTTCTGCATCACCAGAGACCTCGCAATGTTTTCACTCTGCGTTTTTCTGTTCAGTGATCATTTGTGACGTGTTCCTGCAGGACAGTAGTGAGGAATTCAGGAAGCATCGTTTATACTCTAGAGAAGAAAGTAAACTTTCAGGAAAGATGCACAACCCATTCGACAGATGTTTTATTGTGGCTCTGTATGAGTAAGGCTATAACCCCTTGATTTGTCTTGTAGGTATCGGCTGCAGACGGTGAAGTCTCTGGCCGGTGTGAGCCTGATGCTGAGGCTGCTGTGGGCCTCTCTGAGATGGGACGACATGGCCGTCAAACCGTCGGCTGCTGTCGGCACCACACGCACAGGTAGAAACCCCCCCACCCCTCCAAATCCTCTCCATGCACAGACGTCCTTACCCTGGGAGCGTGGGGGAAAACACAGATGAGTGTAGAGTTAAAGAGTGGTATCTGCTTGCTCTGCATTTTTTTGGCATGCATTTCTTTTCTAGGTTTTATCACAAGTCTTTTACTTTTCTACATTCATATCGTGACCTTTATTGTGGGTAAGAAATAAGTTCAACCCGTGGGTGACCATAATCAGACAATATCCAGCCGTGTCCTCCATATGGGACATGAATGCGCTCTCTCTCCCCCTCTCTCTCTCTCTTGCTCCTCTGGGCTGCAGTATGTCAAGATATTATTATTTCATTGATATTCCTATAATTTTATTTGCTTTCAGGGGGAGACTTAAGTGATAAACATTGTGAGCGAGTGTTTCAAATGTTTGACCCACCATGACGTATCACTTTGTAGGAAACATAACAGATTTATGCATGATATAGATAATTAAGGGATTTAAAACAAGTTATGTCTGCAAATAGCTTTCAACGCGGCAGAGAGAAAGAGAGAGAGGCAGACGGGAAGAAGAGAGAGAGACTAAAAGAACCAGTTTAAAGAAAAAGTTCCTGATGGCAGTTATTTGTTTGGTAATTAAAAACTTGTTCAGGAGTCGGGGTGAATGCAGCTTAAGACAGTGAAGCAGGATTTAGTTTACACGAGAAGGACAGATTGTGCACATTTAAAGATGTGTTTTAAATAACAGGAAGTCAGACCTTAAAAAAGATCAGAAACCAGAATCGGTTACAGAAGTTGCCATCGGTGCATCTCTAGTGAAGAAGTGAAGTTTGTGTTTGGACATAAAACTCCAACCTGACATTAAGAGGCCATAGAAACTCTGCAGCTCAATAATCACAGGTTTCTTCCTCGCTTGGGTTCCTAACAAACAAATACCAAACAGAGGATGAAGGCTTCATCTTTTACTGTGTCACTGTTTTTATGTCGGAGTGCGTTTCCTCCTCACCACCGTACCAACCCAGCCCTATCCCCACTCATTGCTACAGAGACGTCAGACACTGAGATCACCACCACTGAGATCATCAAGCGCCGCGACGTGGGACCCTATGGCATCCGCTCTGAGTACTGCATCCGCAAGATCATCTGTCCGCTCGGCGTGCCCGAGACTCCCAAAGGTTAGTTGCACTTTTTATTTCTGTCTGTGTTTCTTAGGAGGGGGGCAAAGTGATGCTGAGAGAAAGTACGGAAGCTTTCGACCACTGTGTCAAAAATGTGATAACATTTGAGATATCAGTCCTGGTTTTTGTTTATGTGTCTGTGTCTTCAACGTTTCCATCCATCCATGTTTTTCCCAGAAACCCACACCCCTCAGAGGAAGGGGCTGCGCTCCAGTGCCCTGCGCCCAAAGAAGCCCGAGCCTGCCAAGCAGACGGGCCCTGTGGTGCTCGAGACCTGGGTGGCCGAGGAGGAGTTGGACCTCTGGGAGATCAGAGCTTTCTCAGAAAGGTCAGAGGGTCGAGCATGTCGAGTATCCACCTGTCCATAACAAAAGATCCATAAATGAGAGGGGGGTTTAATTTTAGATTTAGATTCATAAGGACAGTCAGAATATTCTCTGCTTGTTAACCCAATTATCACGATCACTTTGAACTAGGGGTGTGATTTTTCTTTCTGGATTTACCTTTCATTCCAACCTGGACAGGTGACCCAATTAACTTGAATTGTCCATGAGGTTGTAAGTTAAAGCTCCGTCTGATTTTAAGACAGCGGTGAGCCTTTTTGGCTGTTAGTGTTCATTTCCAGATCTGTAACGTAACCACAGTTTTTGTATGATTCAGATAGAGAAGCGTCCTCCAGCTATGATGTTTCAAAGGTCCGCACTTATTCTAATAACAATTTAGGGCGGCAGTAGCTCAGTCTGTAGGGACTTGGGAACCGGAGGGTCGCCGGATTGAGTCCCAGTGCGGACTTTCGAATTTGGAAGTTTGTCTGGTAGCTGGAGAGGTGTCAGGTCATTTCCTGAGTACTGCCGAGGTGCTCTTGAGCAAGGCACCAAACCCCAAACAGCTCTGGCCCGCTCCCTGTGTGTCCACTGACATCTCCATTAAGTTTATGTGTGTGTGTGTATTTGGGGCCTATGTGTGTGAGAAGCATCTCTCTCAATAACAGAGGGTCAACCTGAATTTACCTCAGGGATCATTAAAAGTAATCTGCTGGTATATACCTAAATAATCAGGACACAGTTGTTTATTTCTATACGAGTTGGAGACACAGTCATCAGTACTTTAAACATGTTAAAGAACTTATTAACTTTATTTTGAAAAGCTTCAGAATATAAATCAAACTGTGTCCAGTTTCTGCTTCCCAGACGAGTCCAGTCGTTTTTTTTAACAAGGTTAAAAGGAAATAATTTATCCTTGAAATGCACAGATATAGAAGTGCTAACTAAACCTACAAACAAATAGGAGGAGAGTGAAATTATACATCAGACAATGATGCAGAAACAAACTAAAATTTGTGACTAAAAATTCACCAAAACAAAGGAAATGAGGAGTATTGAGATATTCTCCTGTTTCCGTTTCTCTTCCTGAATCATAATTTGATTGATTGGTAAATTTGTTTGTTATAATAAATGTATACGCCTTGTTTTTAGTGTTTCTGCCTTTTACAAAGTGTTTTTCCTCTTTCATAATATTCTGCTGAATTGTAAGTCTGAATGAATTTTCTGCTCTTTCAGGGTGGAGAAAGAGAAAGCTCAGGCAGCTGAGCAAGCAAAGGTGAGTGTGCTAAATGTTCAGACGTCTTTTCAGAGGTTTTTAATCATTTTTTTACTTTTTAGTTATTAGGTTTTGTTTTGTTATTTTGGTAAATTAATTTCAGTTTAGTTTCAATTTTTTAAAAAAAAATTTTTAAAAGCAAAAGTCCAAACGCTCGTACACCACTAACACAAACCGTAAATTTCAGAATGTAAGTGGCATCAGTATATAAGACGCAGTCTGTTTTGGGAGGTTTCCCAGAAAGAAAAAAAGTTAAAACTGTCTGCCTGCGTGATTTCTATCGTGTTCAGTGAAGTCTACAAAGTGCAGTTTCTGTGCAGCTGTGTCGCTCTTTTAGTTCGGTTTGTTTTCACTTTGTGGAGTTTGTACTCCTACTACCTACAGTACTGTAGTCAAGCTCTCAGCCTACGGGGAAAGTTGTGAAATACGTCTGTATGCTGCCCAACTCCGCTGGTCACTTGTTAGCTTTAATATAGGACTCTTTCAATCAGAAGAGAACTCCACAAGTTTTATTCACTGAACAATAATCCCCCGTTTTCTTTAAATACTTGAGGGAGGGAGAAAAGATGTTAAAAAAGTCATGCAGCAAGCCTAGTCTGTGTCGCTATGTTTCCCAGCACAGCGTGCAATCAGCGATCAATACACCAGGAGTAGGGTTTAATTTTCAATTACGTCACCTTGCCTGCAGTGGGTGATGGTGGCGGCTGCACTCTCGGTAATGACGGCGTGTGTCTGCATTTTATTCCGGTATATTGGTTGCAACGGTGTATAAGACGCAGCCGACTTTAAAGATGAAAAAACAGATATTCAAAGTGCGTCTTATACACAGGATTTTATGGTACAACTTAAATCTACAATCCTGACTTCAGGTTCTTAACGTCTCGTTCAGAGCAGCAGGAAACGACGTCCGGGGATTATTACGGCAACAACTGCAAAGTTTTTTTTAAACACAACATACACAGAGGTTTAGTTTTCGACATCCAACATTTAATGTTCTGACTGATTGTTTTATGTCTCAGAAACGTCTGGAGCAGAAACCAGGTTCAGTCAACGCCACCCCGACAGGAATTCCATCCACTCCGGCCGCCACGCCCAAAGTCATTGTGGGTTCGCTGTCAGGCCAGGGCACCCCCACCACCAAAGTGGTACTGTCCACAAAGATGGGCACCCCCGTTACATTCCAGCAGAATAAAAACTTCCAGCAGTCGTTCGCCACCTGGGTCAAGCAGGGTCAGAGCACAGGTACGTGTGACCTAGCTGACCGCTGGTTTGTGTGGTGTTGACTTACATTCAAGAATTAAATAAATAATAATAATAATAAATAAAACGAGCAAAGACGATAAAGAAGCTCTTCTCTTTCCTGTTTATTAGGAGCGGGCAACGAGACCACCGTGGCCACATCAGGCGGGCACACTTTCCAGATTACGGGAACCTCGGTGGGTGGAAAGGTGGTGACCACCAAGCTGCCGCTGCCGGCCAACAGCAAGATCGTCACGGTCAACGTGCCGACTTCACAAGGAGGTACATCGGGTTTTTAACAAGTCACACCTCAGAGGCAGCCGGAGGGAGGGTAGAAGTTACAGATATTCAGTGTATACATTTCCTCTTTCCGTCCACCACGCTTGTCGGGATGTTTTTATGGCTTTACTCCTTCACCTCAGACCCACGGCTGAGACGTTTCAAAGGAGCCAAATTAGTTCTGGCTCGTTAATTGGATGCTATTGTAAGCAGCGCGGCGTGCCAACCATGCGCACAGTGCTCTAAAAGAACTTGTTGTCTTGTTGGTGCCCGCCGCAGCAGCTACAAATATTATGAAGTCGACAAATTAGCCTCACATTAGACATTCCTCTGTTGGTGATTGCTACTGTCATCGAGCCAAGTTCACAAGTAGACCAGGATCTTTTGAAAGGTCCACATGTACAGGAACTATCGGGACTTGAAGTCTCAGATTCTGGTTTTTATGAAACACACTAATCGCTTGTCTTTGAATCAGTCACAGACCGCTCACTGTTATTCTTACCCTGGACCTAGTGCAGCCCACTTTCCCTTTTACATGCATTAAATGTTCTCCTGACGCACTTCATTGGAGCTGGTTTAAGACCTGAGACTTACAACCCACATCCCTGATTTATGTAGTGATTCACTGGTAGCATTTGCGTCCTGGATGATGACATTTTAATGGTTTTGTTGTTCTCTTAGCCTGTCTATCAACACACTGTGGGGAAAAACGTAGAATAAAACGAGCAAAGGACAGTAGTCAGCAGTGCCGCACCACCGGTTTGTAGTTTCTGATATGGGTGGGAATTGAGTTCCACTTTTTCTGTGGCTCTGACAGAAAATGCTGTTTGTGCGAAAGCAGTTTTCATAAATAAATCCAAAAAGCTACCTCGTGCTGATACCCTGGTCTCCAAAGCAAACTGCAGGCAAACTCCTGCACACTGTCGCGACTGCTCTGTACCAGATGTTGCCAAGACAGTGTCTCCTCCTCTGCTCTCTGTCTGTTTCTAAGAGACATAAAAGTGACAGTTGTGTCTTTATAAGGCGTCAAAAGGACTTGAGAAGCGCCACTATTTTCCAACCTGTGAATGTAAGTGGTCCCCTGCTTCTCTCACTTTCTCTGTCTGCAGCTTGGGGTTTTCTGTGGAACATCATGTCTGCTGGAGTCCGGTCGTCATGGTAACCTAATAAAAAGCTGTTATTTTGGTTGGATGTTTTTACGGACGGCCGATTTGTGTAGTCTGAGGTCCTAAAATCCAGACCGAGCATCCAGGATTGTACTTTCTTAATTTAGGTTCTTTTGAACTTTTCAGAATGTCAATATTGACACCGGGATGGTTTGTGCTGCGCTGCACCAGACCTGTCTCTGGTCCTGTCACATTATCGGACCATGCATATTTATCATCTCTCATACTGCTTTTCCACCAAAGTGTACCAGGGGCTAGTTCTGGGCTCTTGCTAGTAGTAGGTACTGCAGTCCAAATTCAAAACATTATAGAGAGCTGCCCGCCCCCTCCTCTCTATAGTCGATGCTCACACAGGTTGCCATGTGGTGGACACTGAAGCTTCAGTGTTTAGCCAGCTCTGCATCGGTCTGTAAACCTTTCTGTGTTCTAACCTCTCTCCATTTTTCAAAAGCATCTCCAATATTGATCCTAGTTTGAGCACGTTTCTGCTCGTGGAGTTTATTAGAAACATGCAGAGGCTTTTTAGGTCGGGTACAATCACTTCTATCTGAACCAGTGCACAGTAAATTTATCATGTAATGCAGCCCGGCCATTAAAGGGCTTTGAAATCACCAGCTAAGGAGAATTATATTCACAAAGGCTGCAAAGAAAGTGATTTTTCTCCCCTTTGAAGTGTCCATGAAGGAGAAACTAAGTTCAGTTGGAGTGTAACCATTTAATGGACATGTGTATTTATCCAGCATGACTGTTGGACGCCCTGTTTATTTTGGAAGGCTTTAAGGAAGTCAGGCAGGAAAACAAGTTTACCCTGAGGTCTGCTTCCCAGACAGGTAACCCTCTATAGCGTGATTCCATGTTTCTTTTTTTCCTCTCTCGTCTTTTTGAATGAAAGCTCACCGGAGTCCCAACTCCCCCCGACCTCCGAACAGCCAGTCCATAGAAAAGCGTGTTTAATGTGTGTGACCAGAGCAGCTACTCCCCTGCTCTTACGACTGGCTTTCACGTCCCTGTTTGAAGAGGGAAACCCTTGATGTATAGGTTTACCTGCTCGGTTGCGGTTGAAAAACCACAGCAAGAAGGGCCGAGGTAGAAAGCGGAGGAAAGAGCGCGACACACTCATGGTTTCCATCTCTGCCGACGGCTTCACGTGAGCTCATTAAGGCACAGCGCCCAGCGGACAAATATGAAACACTCCCTTTGATGGATTAAAGTTCAAAAAGTAGGATCTGATTCATGCATAATTTATGAGCGGGGTTCAGGTACATTGGGGGAAACCCAACTAAGCTCTCAGTGAGTCTTTTGAAGATTTTGTTTACCTGCTTGACTAATATTTACCGTTGCTGTGATCAAAAGCTGGACATCGAGCGAGGAGAGAGGGCGCAAATAATGTTTGAATTGTGTCAGAGAAGGACGCCTGCACTCGGTTTATTAACAAAAAATAACAAAATAACCAAAACTAGATAGTCAGACATTCTTTAACTGACATAAGGGGACTCCTGAGGTAGGATGTGACTTAAAAAAGGACGCAGACAAAGCAACAGAGTCCGCTATAAGATGGTATAATGAGAATATTCGCCTTTATATCAATTCAATGTGCAGTTCAATGGAATCACAATATCAAAAAAAGAGCGGGGAACAACATACTGACGAACAGAAAACTTAATACAGTCGTTTAACCACATGCACAGAGATCGTAGTGGTCGCGTGCAGACACTCTGCACTGTGCAGCAGTAAAACGATATAAACGTCACCCCCCCCCCCCCCCCCTATTGGCTCAAGGAGAATTCTCCGGCTGTGAAATGAATGAAAATTTACGTGGTCGTTTTGCCTTTAAAAAGCTAAGTCAAGTGACCTTGAGTACTTTATTTTTATAGAGATATTGTCATCGAACCTGGTGCTCTTTTGTTTTAAAGAAACGGTTAATGTACTGTTTTAGGAGCATTAAAATGATAGATGCTGTCTGTGATAGTTCTTTAAAGAGAGGAAATCGGTGTCTGCAGGTTAGAACTTGAAAAAAACAGTAATTAAAAGTGGCCAGAGAACTAGCAGTCGGTGAATCTCTAGTTTGAGCATTTTCAGATTTTCACTGGATGTTTTTTAAGGTCTGAATTCTCCGTACTTCTATAAACGTTAAACCTGCTGACAGTCTCTGTTCTTGTCATGCTCCTCTCTTCTCGTTTCTTTTCATCCACTCACTGCAGTGTCTCTTCTGTTTCTCTTTGCTCTGTAGGTGTGGTTCAGCAGAAAGTGTTGGGTATCATCCCGTCGAGCACAGCAGGCGGTGCTCAGACCTACACCACATTCCAGCCTCGCACCACCACGCTCAACATCAGGCCCAACACGCCGGGATCCCAGCAGCAGGTAAGTCTGCTCCTCCCTGCTACAAAGTGTCGATGAAGGTGGTGTTGTTCTTAACTACATATTTACATCTTCTGCCTTCTTCTCTGTCCTTTCCTGTGTTTTTTTTCTCCTCCTTTTTGAACCATCTCTTCTGTCAACAATAATCAGTCAGAGCCTGTGTCCACGAACGGCTCTTTTTACGCCAGCAGCGCCCACTACCACAGTTTCAGAGCAGTGTTCACTGTTGCTAGGTTGCGAAAGTTGCACTCACATCAGTAGTGAATGTTAGGTCTTTTTAAAAATGTCTTTATATGCGTGATATCTGCTTTTATTTTTCAATGAAATTTACCCAAGACCAGACGAGTAAGATTCATTTCTCCTCTAATCTAAAGCTAAATGATTTAGGAGTGTGGGTTCCTCCTCTGCTGCTGACTTTATATCAAAAGTCCCGCCCTGTCTTGATTTTGATTGGTTGGGGAGGAAGCTGTGATATTAAGAAGGAAAGTGCAGTGACAAAAACCAGCTGATGTCGAGGGCGTTGTTGCACTAGGACACTGAACGCTAAAAAAGCTTAAAATATATATATATCTGTGTATAGAAACAAAGGCGTTTGAGGACACAGTCCCTTAAAGACAAATATGCTAACTTTGAGAAACTTGTAAATGGGTAATATCTTCATTAATGTATATTTCTCCAGGTTTTGGCAGCTGGTACTCAGATCCGTCCAGGAATGACGGTAATCCGAACACCGATCCAGCAGACAGGACCGATGGGAAAGACGATACTACGAACTCCTCTCGTTGTCCAGCAAGGTAAGGAAGTCTTCATGTGCACAAAAAAACCTCCCTCTCAAAGAAGAACTGCACACTGGAATCAATCTGAGCACCATGCTGGATGAAGTTAGCTTTATCCTCACTGAGTAAGCATCAACGTCTGCATGTGTTTTAAGTCGGTGTCACTCTTCTCTGTTGCAGGTCAGGGTGGGCAGCAAGTGGTGACGCAGATCATTCGGGGACAGGCTGTCTCAACGGCGATATCGGGTGCCAGCCCTGTCGCCACGGTCACAGGCCAGGGGTCGGCAAGCCCCACCACAGGCGGACAGGCTGCAGGCCAAACAACACAAGGCACCCCGCGGGCGCAGGCACAAGGCCAGGTTAAGCTCAGCCTGGCACAGATCACCCAGCTCACACAGGTTAAAGAGGGAGACACCAAAAACTCTGAGATGTGCAGCGTCACCCTCCGTGTAAGACTGTAAAATGTGACACTGACTAACAAGCCCTCTTCTCTCTTCTCTGCCTCATGCAGAAGCAGCAGGCGGCGTCAGGTGTGGAGCGGCAGGCTGGCGCGGGCGGTACCCAACAGGCTCTGACTGTGATGGTTCAGGGTCAGGGCCAGACCGCCGGTCAGCTGCAGGTCATACCTCAGGGTGTCACCGTCATCCCAGGACCCGGTCAGCAGCTCATGCAGGCATCACTGCCCAACGGACAGGTTCAACGCTTCCTCTTTACCCCGCTGGCCTCGGCCGCCACTCCCACATCAAGCACAGGTATAAGAAACGAGCAAGAACTCTCCTCCTAAAGCAGCGAGAGAAATGTGCCCCCTTCTCATCTTTCCCCTTCTTTCTCCAGCCACACAGCCTAACTGTGCCTCCACCAAAGCCCCGGCCCAACCCGCCCAGCAGGCCGCAGCACCCATTCAGGCAGGGGCGACCCCCTTAGCCACCACCAGCACCCCTTCGTCGGCGACCCCGCAGGGCCAGTTACCCCCTCAGACACAGGCGCACATGCCCATCCAGTCTCCCACGTCGCTGCAGGTAAAAACGCAGGGAGGAACGGCACAGCTACAGATTCAGCAGTCTCCACAGATCATCAGCATGTCTGGACTGCAACAGCAGGTACATGTATGACTGTGGTACTCTGTGTGTGGGATGGTCACACTGAGTATGGGGAACTTTACTTTCTGAAATTCTTTAGAAGTTGGATATACTGTTGAACTGAAGTAATTCAGTGAACTACTTATTTAATCAAGCCATTCATAATGTGGGGCCTGTTAGGAAGCAGACGGTGTGATGTCATAAAAAAAGATCGTCTGTGAAATATTCTTCTGTCTTGTGTCTGCAGGTTTTGGCTCAGCTGCAGGCCCAGCAGGCTGCAGGTTCTCTGCCACAGCACATCAAACTGCAGCTTCCCATCCAGATACAACAGACGGGGACCACCTCAGCTCAGGGAGGACAGGTAGTGCAGCAAGTCCTGCTCCACCAGACTCTTATATTATCTTAATTTACCTCCAAAAAGGCCTCACTGGGGGGGAGCTTGTTGATGTGGTTAAACTAGAGAACAGAAAATATGATTCAAAACTCTCTGTGGTGAATTCTACTGCGCTGTGCCTCCTGCTCGTATTTCGATGGAAGCATAGCATGTTAAATCAATGGAGCTTTTCTTCTTTCTTACTCTGAATGGTTTCCTCTTGATCTGGTAGATATCCTGAACAGTTTAACTTAGGCTTACTATATATTCTCATGACGGCAGCCACACGTCCCCTGCGTCTGTTTGGTGGATTAGTGGTGCGTTCCATTTGACCTTGGAAGTTGAAAACTCTGAGTTGCTGGTCCGGTATGTCATCAGGAACTGATTTGTCATTCCCCCTGGAAGTAGGAATTCTGACCTGGAAACTCCCGAGAACCTTCAGTAGCCCAAGTTAATATCCAACGTGGCTGCTACGTTCATCAACAGTAATGTTTAAGCTGTAACTATTGTGTTTATTTTTGCGTAATTAAATCAATCACGCCGATCATGTAGTGTGGTACTCCTGGAGGTTTCCATGTTGCTTCTCTGACTTGTTGCAAACTCGTAACTGGAACACAGTTAACTCTGGTGTGACGTCATTAATTAATAACAGAATGATCCCCGTCCCTACTCACCATACAGTTAGATTAAAGTGTTCAAAATGTGTGCCTTTATCGCTCTCTGCTGTCGACACAGATCGGGAACGTGGTGACCATCCAGACGGCTTCGGTCCAGGAGCAGCTCCAGAGGATCCAGCAGCTCCGAGAGCAGCAGCAGCAGAAGAAGAGACAGGCAGCAGAGGCCAAGAGAGAGCAGGCACTCAATGCAGCCAGTCAGAGCGACATCATTCAGAAACAGGTGTGTGTGTGTGTCTGTGTGTCTGTGTGTGTGTGTGTCTGTGTGTGCTCGTAGCTGGGTCATTTATCTCAGTCCAAGGCTTGCTCTTTTCCCGCCATCACTACATAAACAGACACGATCCTCTGACCCTCCTCTGAGGTTTATTTTCACAGCTCGGGCCTTTTCTCTGTTATCTGGGCTTAAAGCTGCTGCTTCAGTGGTCATTCATAGATTAGAAGGAAGCTTAAAGACCACATATCATACTCATCAACCAGTTGAAATAAGTCTCTGAGCTCCCCAAAACATGTCTGTGAAGTTTTCTTGTTCTAAATCCACTCTGATCCTGTATTCGATCATGCCTATAAACCCCTCTATTTCAGCCCTTTTCAGGCTGTTTCTGTGTCTGTACCTTTAAATGTAAATGAGCTGTGTCTGACCACGCCCCCTCTCTGGAAGGACTTGGGTGCTCGGGCTTTCTCGCTCCATGTCCCATTGTTTACTGTGAGAAGGCAGACTCAGAGGGCAGAACAAACACCTAGCTGTGGGAGTGTCACCCACCTGGGGGAGGAGTTATTGCCCTTTGTGATGTCATGAAGGGAAAATCTCCAAACGGCCTGTTTGAGCACACATTTTCTGAAAGGGGAGCAGGCAAAAGATGGAGAGGATGGACTTTTCTCATCATTGAGGGGTTTGTAGACAGACTAGAGACACATTCCTTTCTTTTAAATTGGCAAGTTACTTACCATCAGAAACACTTGTATTTTGCTTCCTTTGGTAATCACATCTAAGAACAATAAACTTCGATCGATGATTGTGTTTAATTTTTCTTACGTTTTTCTTCAGTGTAGTCACTCTCAGACTGTGAATGTCTTTTCTTGTGCCGTTAAACACGCAGTCTGTTCTGACCTCTCCCTGCGCTCCGTGTTTCAGGTGGTGATGAAACAAAATGCTGCGATCGAGCACCTGAAGCAGAAGAAGACGATGACGCCTGCAGAGAGGGAAGAGAATCAGAGGTTTGTGTTCATATTTTTTAATTTAACCAGTTTTTATTTTTTACTAAAATCACCCAATATCTGCCTGAAGTTGCCATGGTGATAGCCCTGAGGCCCTCCTTGTGTTGATGTGGTTGATCTGTAACCTCGACGTTTCGGCAGCCTGATCACTCTGCTATCCTCTTCGTTTGACTTTAGTCCAAGAACATATCGGGAGGTACAACACTTGAACGCTGCATGGGAAAGTTTAGGGGTTTGTGTGTTTAACCACCGACAGCTGCATGATCTCACTGCGTCCCGACAAACGAGAGCAGAAAGACAAACCCGTAATAAATGAGAGGAGTGTGAAATACATGAACACTCCTCCTCTCAGTGGATTAGAGCAAATAAAGTTCATTTTAAGACGTCCATTAGCTCAAAGTTATTGACTCAATACTCCAGTCCACAGGGATTTTCAGATACAGAACGTTTGCTTTAACCTAAAAAAGCAAACCATCTATGTTCCTATGTTCTAGCCGTCTGACTTTTTACACCATATGTCACATTTACACACTGATGGTAGAGGCTGCTGTGCAAAGTGTTCATGAGTAGTAACTAATCACATTCATACACAGCCGACAAAACAGCGGGAGCAACGTGGAGGTTTATTGACATTTTGAAAGCATAAATGAGTGGTAAAGAGCGTTCGATGAGAAGAGAAGAGTATGAAGCAGCTTCATTACATGTACAAACTCAAAAATCCCACCAGTTTCTGACCAATCTCGTCACCCTTTTGCACACTCTCAACGGGAATTTTCCTGAAGTTATCCCGATGTGTTCTCACAGCGGCTCAGCTCCAGTTCTTGCAGACCTTTAGTAGTAAGCTGGCAGGAAAGTCCTGGTAAAAGAAAAAGTAGTCTGTACTCATTGGAACGTGCAGATCACCCTGGTAATTTCTGTAAATGTTTAGCAATGCAGAGTGCATGTGTGCAAGGGGCTTGGTACTACTGTTGGTGCCACTGGTCCTGTTTCATCAAGAGGTGAAAGGTTATCAGTGGTTGTTTCCTGAATGAGCTTGTTCTGTTAACATGAAGACTTCTTGAAAACTCGATGGTGTTGTAACTTTAGAATCAGAATCAGATTTATTGGCCAGGTATGCTTACACACACAAGGAATTTAACTTCGGTGAACTGTGCTCTCTTATGTACAGGTACAACATTAAATATCAACAATAAACATAATAAGAAAATACTAATATTTGCATGACTAAATATGAAACAGTGCAGTGGTGAATAGTGCTAAAGATGCTGAAGTAACATGATAAGTAAAATGCAGTTATGTGACAGATGGGTCAATTAAGATGTCAATTACAGTATTTACATAAATAAGTGTGTGTAGATTGATCATTTAAATTAAATAATATATACATATATGTATATTCACAGTGACGGTTGTAACTTAAAATAAGGTGAAACTGTCGTCTGTCAGAAGAGTTAAACTTCCACTACTATAAAAACATGTAACATTTACGAAAAGTCGTAGTACTGCCATGTTCTGCTCAAGACTGCTCCTGGCCTCGTGTTTCAGACGGCATAGATGGATCATACTCTGACCCACAGATGACCTTGACAACCATGTGTTTATGTCCACAGACGTTGTGTCAACACTGTGCCCATTCACACAAACCTGAAATACCCGACCCAGACTGCCGCGTCATCTCTGCAGCTCCGTCTGTTGTCTGTCTCGCTGCTTATTTTTCATCCTTTTTCCATGTCTTCATGTCGTCTTTTTCCTCACAGCTTTTCCTTCAAAACACGGCTCTGTAACCTTGTCGCCTCCCCATGTCCCGTTACATTAGCCTCTCCTAGTCTTCTCGCTCTGTTTGATCTGTGCACTCGAGAGTAGGAGCCCATTGGCCTGTCTTCGACCTCAGCAGCCACGGATGTGTCACTGTGTGCTGTTCCCACAGACGTACACCTGTCGAGCGGTCTGCTGCTGAACGTGAACCCTCAGCTTTCTATCTGAGTCGCGAATGTTAACAAACACAAGTGAACTCGCTGAGTTTACAGAGCTATAAATTATTCTGATTGCTACTCACTGACGGTCAGTTTTGACTAAAAGTTGGAGGAGATTTTTTTCTGGTACATTTATGTTTTCTTCATTTTGCACGTCTGACCTTTCGTCATCCCTCTCCTGTGTTTATTAGAGCAGTTTGACTTCCCAGTCGTCGTCTATCTGTCCATCTCTCACCGGTCACTCCACTCCCTGGCTACTGAAGCTCAGAGTCTCACCCAAATAAACACAGAACAAGTAAATACCCCTCAACATCTGGGAGACACGTGGTGAAGGAACAGGACTTTTTTTTTTCACATAGGGAAGACGACTCCCCTGGATCAGGATCCGGTTTATCTTCTGGCAAGACTTCATGCCTTCATATCAATGCTTTGTGTATTTCACAGAACAGAATCACAATATCAACAACATAGCGGAGAAGAACTTACTCAGGAACAGAAAACATAATGCAGCACTTAAATTACATGCACAGAGATGTTCCGGCTGCATGCAGTAAGTCAATGGCTTGACTTACTGCATGTCCCCCTCTTTTGATGGCTGTTTAGTCAAGCCGTTTTCAGACTTTTACCCATCATTTTCAGCCAGATTGCCTCTGAAATCTTACTGAGATTCTTGTTCACACATGCACCTCACAGGGGAGATTATCTCTGTGAGACAGGGGAGGAGTCTGAAGAAGCAGAACATGACGTGAATAAAAAAGAACAACACAGATTATAGTTTCTGTGAGTGCAGATTTAACGGTATGAGTAGAATAGATCATACTGGCGAGCACAGAAGAGTAAAAAAGCAGTTTTATAACTTGCAAGGAGATTACACAGGTCGGGCGCATACCGTCTATGTTTGTGCACCAATCAGCATATAAATGTCATCCCCTCCTGATTTTACCTGCGTATTACCTGCTGCTGAGATCACACATCAGCTCGCCCCAATTTCACATGAAAAATTATTATTTTTTTAAATAATGGGGGCTTGAAAACGTGAGTGAAACATTCTCCCGTTTTGCGTTAACACATGCAGCTCAACCTCAAAATGTGGGGAGCTGGTGGCGCAGTGGTTAGTGTGCGCGCCCCATGTATGGAGGCTGTAGTCCTCAAAGCGGACCGCCCAGGTCCTTTCCCGCATGTCACTCCACTCTCTGTCTCTCCCTGATTTCCAACTCTATCCACTGTCCTATCTCTCCATTAAAGGCAAAAAAAAAAAAAGTTTTCTAGAGTTTTGAGCAAGTGTGAAAGCCCCATCGGTCAAACCATGCAAAAGTTTTCCCTCTTTGTTTTTTAAACGTCAACGATCTAACCTCTGACCTTTGGTGCAGAAGTTAATGGGAATAGAAAACAGTTGACTTGATCCCAGTCTTCAGCTGAGAAAAGAGAAACAAGGAGCTTGTTGGTGACGAGTGAAGTCCAACACAAGCTTACACAACAGATCCACCACACTGCCTCAAGAGAAACGCTTTCATAGTACACTGAAGCACTCGGCCATTTCTTACATGTGGAAACTGAGAGGTTCTTGAAGTGGCGGTGCAGGTCGCGTTTTCTGAAACATTGAAGCATTGTTGGGTTTAATACTCCGCTCCTGCCCACTGCTGTGTCAGAAGGTTTACTTTCTTCCTCTGTGACTCTCTGAATTGAAGATAATCCTTTCCCTTTCCTCGCTCTTTTATGCGTCTCTCTCTCAGCACGACTGCTGTGTTGATTTAGTGCCTTAAAAAATACAAACGTGCCAAATCCCTGTTGCACGAGGGTCCTCATTAGGACTATTTCTTAAGCTGGGTTTTTGGACTTTTTTATTTCTTGGTTTTCAGTATACAGTGCTTTTCTTTTCTATACAAGACGCCTCTATGATCCTCTAAGTTTGAAAAGGTCAGGAGGAAAGAAGTCTGAAACGACCCCTTTGTCATCTTTCTGTCACTTTTGTGTCCGTTCAGGATGATCGTCTGTAACCAGGTGATGAAGTTCATCCTGGACCGGATCGACAAGGATGAAAGGCAGGAGACCAAGAGGAGGAAGAAGGAGGAGGTGGTGGAGGCCAAGAGGAGATTGGCTAATGCCAGCAAGCTCTCCTCGCTCCTGTACCGACACAAAGAAAGCCTCAAGATGGAGATCCTGAAGAAGCGCGCGCTACTCGACAAGGAGCTTCAGCTGGAGGCCCAGGTATGACGGGGGCGACAAGATGTTAGAAAAAATAAGGAGGGAATTTGTATCCACTCAAATTTTTAAATGACATCATCTTATTCTTAAAAGATCGGAGCTTATGGCCTCATGAATGTATCTTTTCAAGTCGTTATCAAACAGAATTGACCTCCAAATTAAGCTTTTAAGCGTGCTAAACTCATGCTTGGATATTTCTCTCCACAGGAGGAGCTAAAGAGGGACCTGCTGCGGATGAGGAGGGAGAAGGAGAGAGCTCAGGCTGCAGCCCAGCAGGCCGCCCAGGCTGCTGCAGCTGCTGCCGCCGCGTCTGCCCGCAACCAGCAGCAACACTCGCACACGCACGCCATCTCCTCCCAACACCACGCCACGACCGCCGCCTCCACACACAAGAGGAAACGAGAGGAGGAGAGAGAGACGGCGACGCCGGCCAAGTCCAAGAAGAAGAAGATGATCCTGACGACGAGCACCAAGGAGAGCAAGAAAGACATCAAGCTCTACTGCGTCTGCAAGACGCCCTACGACGAGACCAAGTATGACCATAACCCAACAAATACATTCAAATATACAGTATGGGGAAATGTGTCCTGTTTCAATGTCTAGTTTGAAGTTTTTATTTACATTTTTCTTGGATTTCTTGCTCACGGTCCTATTAATGGTTGCATTATAAGTGAAAAAGTTTTAGATTACATTTTAAAATGTGTGCGACAACCCTGTGTGGAACAAAAGGACTTGATTTCATCAAAGGTTTGTTTGTGGTTTAAGTCGGTTGGTCAAGTATGACATCATGACTCAAAATGGACAGCCCTCCTTCCTTTTTTCCAACTTAAGTTCACAATTTAAGTCACTTTGTGTCAGTTTGGCGCCCCCTGTGGCAAAACGGTTACTCTTATCACGTTACTGATTTTGTCCTGTAAATGTTTCAGTAGTTGTTGTTGTTTAAAAAAAAATCTTAATACTGCTTTCTTTTAAAACTCCAACAAAGTCATTGTGAATCTTTGCTGTGGAACGTTTAAAAAAAAGTCTGATTCTGCTGTGCTGTTAATCACTTTGTGACAGCCCCCCTGCCGCTGGGGTTTATAGATTTTAGGAAGACATAAGTGACGTTGTCTTTTGTCTCCTCTGTGTCTGTAAAGGTTCTACATCGGCTGCGATCTGTGTACCAACTGGTATCACGGAGAGTGTGTGGGCATCACGGAGAAGGAGGCCAAGAAGATGGACGACTACATCTGTGTGGAGTGTAAACGAGGCCAGGAGAGGAGCACCGAGGAGCTGTACTGTATCTGTCGGACGCCGTACGACGAGTCCCAGTAAGGAGCGATGTCTACGTCTTTCTGCTTTTCTTCATGTATGATATGAAGCTGCATTATTACATGCAGGACGATCTCACAGGTCGCCCACCCGCTTGCTTTGGTTGAATCTTCCTGAACATTTTCTGCTGCGTTAAGCTCAAGCTAATTTCTCACAGACATTTTGATATGGGGCTGGCAGGAGGAAGAGCTGGTAAAATTTGTGTGAGAGTTCTGTCGTTTGGGCTCACCATGAAAAAGTTCAGGGGAAAAAAAACAATCAGGAAGTTTGTTTATATTTTTACACCACGACTCTATTGACTAAAGGCCCTGGCGGTGAGGGATTATCGACCTAATGTTTGCAGTGTGTCCAGCTCTGTCTGCCTTTTTACGCCCGATTCGACATGTTGAACTGTCGTCAGTCGGCGCTGGCGCGTTTAGTGAGAGGAATCACTCTGATTGGCTGTTCAGCTAAGCGACTCAGTGCACGAGACTAAGAACAGAAGTGACCAAAGCAAATAAACAACTTCAACTGTTTATCAGCCATTATTCTCGTTTAGAAGTACCTGTATTACGAGTGGTGAGCGGCAGCAGTGGGAAATTGTCTCCTCCTATCAGAACAACAGTTTATACATCCTCAATTCTCATTGTCCTCGTCTTCTTCCGGTTTCCCCTTTTTGGAATGGCGATTACAGACTACAACAACCTGCTGGCATGGAGAGTAATGGCCTCTCACACATGTGCAAGAGCGTACGTGGTGGTTGGCCGGTAGCTGAAGTCTTTGCTGAGTGTTTAAGTGCAACTTTTTTTTCTTTGCCGTGTGCTTGGTGTGTCAGGGCCTTTATGTAATAACGAGATGAAACACGACATCACAAGTAAAGTTGAGTCCTCACTTCCTCCACAGGTTCTACATCGGCTGCGATCGCTGTCAGAACTGGTACCACGGCCGCTGTGTGGGCATCCTGCAGAGCGAGGCCAACCACATAGACGAATACGTGTGTCCACAGTGTCAGTCAACAGAGGACGCCATGACGGTGTTCACGCCGCTCACAGACAAGGACTACGAGGGCCTGCGGAGAACTCTACGCTCCTTACAGGTAAACTGGAGAGTTATTGTAGCGGCACAAACACTAAGGTCACGTAATTTCACTGCATAATCTAGTTTTTCAGAGGTTAATGTTGTATTTAATTTACTGCAGAATGACATGAACGCTCTCAGCTGTAGCGTAAGCAGCAGCGGTGTAGTGGTGGTTTTATTGCATGCTATAGCCCAGCGACCCCGCTGCAAACAAAAGTCCTCTGTGTCCGTCTTATCTGATGGGTTCGGCTCCCCAGAGCGCTACTTGGACAGCTGCCTGGCGTCAGTTCTTTTTTTTTTTGTGTGTGTGCTTCCCTCTCTTTTCTCTCTCTCCTGCTCTCCCCTCCTCTCTCCTCTGGTTTTGTGAATGTGTGAGGGGGGCAGAGAGACATAGAAGTGGAGCAGAAAGCAGGAGAGAACATCTGTGTTGACCCACCTGCTTCCAGTGTCATTTTCACGCTGCTGTTTGTTTTTACTTCACTGGTTCCAGCGTTCTCATGTGTCTTGTCTTTCTCTTCGTCTTCCCCCCTCCCTCGTCTGCAGGCGCATAAAATGGCGTGGCCGTTCCTAGAGCCAGTGGACACAAACGACGCCCCGGACTACTACAGGGTTATCAAGGAACCAATGGGTGAGTGGGGGAAATGTGTAAAAGCACTCAAACACAACAATGACTACAGGGTTATTGATCAGCAGGAATTCTGTCTCAACACCTTTTCAGTGTTTTTCATGCCACTCAGTGCTTTTAACTGATCACATATTCAGAGTATTCAAGGAGAATTCATGCAGAATGGATTGCAGCTGCTCGTAGCTCTATGAATTCTTCTTTTATTACTGCTCCATCACAACATGCACAAACACGCCCATAAAGGTGTTGTTCCGTGAGCATGTTTGTGTGTGATTGTGGAAGTGAGCCGTCATCATCTGCACTCCCTGCTGCACAGTGGAGCGCTGTGCTTATCTTCCTGACGGAGCTCAGCTCTGCCATAATGCGATGAAGGAAAGCCGTGATTCAGTTTATATTTCCTGAGAGCAGAGCGCTTCAACATTGTTTGTGGATTGGCAGACGTTTTGTGTTTTTCATTTAGTGGGTTCGTTATGGAGGGAAAATTAAGATCGGCCGAGACTCAGCACTGAACTAAATCCCAGAGACTCAGATTGGATCCCTACTGGGTCAATGCATTAGCCCGAGTATCGCTGTTTTGTTTCATAATGGCTTTAAGCTGCAGCTCGTCAGTGGAAGTAAGACTCAAGTCTCTCCATCTTCAACATTCAAACAGCCACCAGGAGGCCAGCAGGGAGGAAGCCCTCGAACTCAGATCAAACCGGCCATGTAAACGGGGACTTGCGTCAACAGGGCCTTTTTGAACTTCCACACAAACAAACCGTTAATGAGCTGCTCGGGGGCCTGACGGGCTCACTGTGGAAAGCGACCGGCTCTACACACAGCTCCTGTTGGCCCCGTCCTGGAAACTCTAGTCCTCCCCTCCCCCCCCCTCCCCCCTCCCCCCACCGCAAGAAAAAGACCCTGGTAGTTTTCAAAAAGAAAACAAAAAAAAAACGAGCATTTGGCTGAAGGAGCTGTAGCCGTTGGTAGATTTGAGAGGGCTTTGAGATGAAATCTGACGATGGGGAAGAAGGAGGTCTTTGATATAGACCATGAGGTTTGTAAGGCCCGGAGCAGCTGTTATGAGTCGGATATGTTTGTTTTAGACGACGCAGCCATGGGGACGTCGTGCAGAGCACACCACCAGCAGATTATATAAAGCCTGCGCTGTGTTCAGTTTCAGTTTTGAATTACAACCATAGATTGCATGTAATAAGGACGCAGTCTCAGTGACGTCACCAATTGGATTCTGGAGACATGTTTTGAAGCCTAATGATGGCGGTCACCATTTTGGAAATGCTGTCTCCGCTTAGCTTTCGCTCAATCCAGAAACAGGCAAAGAGGTGGATTTTGGGCAGCTCTTAAACCTTCTGACAAACAGCTACAATGTACCCACCTGTCTGTCAAATAGACCACACCCCTAAATATGCAAATATATGCATCTGACTACTCAAAGCACCTGTCCACCGCAGGTCACACCTACACATTCACACGCTGATGGTAGAGGCTGCTGTGTGAAGAGTCGATCAGAAGAAACTAATCCATTCATACACAGTCGTTCACATGCTGCCGATGAAGCAATGGGAGCAACTCAGGGTTAAGTAACCCGAGGACACATCGGACATGTGGCTGCAGGAGCTGGGGATCGAACCCTCGACCTTCCAGTTGAGAGACGACCGACTCTACCAATTGAGCCACAGCTGCCCCGCTTATAAAAAGAGATTTTCACTATTTGTGCTATAATTGTATTGATTTGATCTAGATCTTTGCAAGATAACATCAGTGTCAAATTTTAACTGTACAACATTTCAAATATAAAATATTCATTTTTTTCATCATATTTATCAAGTGACGTCGGTCTCATGGTGACGATCATGTCCTAAACCTGTGATCGTGCTACGTACCAGGAGTGTATCTTTACATCCCCACTGAGAGCTCACTTTAACGTGAGGCTGAGAATCATCTGAACTTATCTGACCGTCAGCTGAGGACGCTCCCCTCAGGAATGAATCTCACTGATTGATCTGGAAGACGAGTGAATGGAGGTTAAAGCTGGAGGGGTTTCTCAGATTTTTGTTGTCTCATAAAAAGTTCTCAAGGAAACATGTCAAACACATTCCACATCAGCTGCCGCCGCTTTGAGGCAGATTTGAACTGATGCGTCCACATATCTGATGACATATGTTCCCACAGTCGTTAACCAAGTATGTGTTCTTAAATCCTCTTCCCTCAGACCTTTCCACGATGGAGGAGAGGTTACAGAAGCGCGAGTACGTCAAGCTCACCGAGTTTGTAGCGGACATGACCAAAATCTTCGACAACTGCCGCTACTACAACCCCAGTGACTCGCCCTTCTACCAGTGTGCCGAGGTTCTGGAGACTTTCTTCGTCCAGAAACTCAAAGGCTTCAAAGCCAGCAGGTATGATAACAATGATGATGATGTAGAGATGAGGAGGATGAGAGGAAACACAAGCAGGTGACTTTTATAAAGAAAGCTAACTGAGACGCTCAGCCTGCAGGAGGAAATGTCCGAGAGTCATTTGTGGCTCCAGCTGTGTAGCCGACTCTGACCCCTGTGGAGGTCGTGTGGACGCAGTTTCTCCAATGAGACCAATAAAATGTAACTTCTCATGGAATATCTTTTTCCATGGAGCCTGTGGAGTTCATCGACTCCTTCATCTCTTTGATCCACTGAGTCTCCATCTTGTGTTTTTTCTCCAAACGTTCACCTCATTGGGTCGAGACTGAAAGCTCACACGGGCGGCAGGTTACTTCTCTCTCTCTCTACGTAGGGTTGACAGGATATCAGGATTAAAACTTGGAACACGATACAAGTAGAAATCAAACCATATCAGAGTCTGTTTGGTTACCACAGCAACAAATATAGCAGGCATATGCAGGCCCGCCCACAGAAATTGCTGGTCCTCTGAAAGACCAAGTGATTGGTCCCTCATTGGATCAGGACCTCCTAGATAACTTTCATCTCCTCCGCCCGGCTCTGATCAGCTTTTGGAGCTAACTGAAAAAAGTTACTGTTGGGGTCAAACGCCATCTTTCTTTCTGGCATCCTGACTTTTGTGCCGGTCCTGGCATGGCTACACCCAGCTCGCCATTAGCCTAGTGGCCTAACGGTTCATTTCAATGGGCTCGCCCATAACTTAAACATTCCAAAACAAAAGGTTAATACAAATTTAAAAAAGAGGGAATTTACATTTTGAAAAAGGCAGCACTTAATAAAATGTGTTTCTTTGGTCTTTATAAATAAAGCTGAGTATTTAGGTTAAAAAAAATGGTTATGATTGTTTAAATTAGGATGGACCATGTTTTGCCCAACCGTATGTGCCTGGACCACAGAAACCCCCCTATGGGCGGCATTGGTCCTATGCACCCAAATCACCAGAGCTTTCCAAGCAAAGTTTTCCTTTCATACTGTTAAAATGCACAGATTCCTGTCTCTCTCTCTTCAAAGATTAAAGTTAAAAATACAAGTTAAGGGGGGGCCCGTAGCATATGGTTAGTGCATGCGCCCCATGTACGGAGGCTGTAGTCATCCAAGCAGGGGGCCCGGGTCTGAATCTGACCTGTGGCTCCTTTCCCGCATGTTGTTCCCCACTCTCCCTCTCCCCATAAATTCTGACTCTATCCACTGTCCCTTCTCTAAATAAAGGCCCCATATTTTTATTTTTAAAGCTTTTAGATTCCAACAAAAATTAAAGTAAGTCCTTTAACATCATGTGGACCTTACTCTGTAGAACGAGTCGTCTTTAAAAAAAAACACAGACTTGATAAATCTCCACTTATCCAGTTTTAGGTGACAACATTGTCCCGGAGTGTTTTTCTGCAGACTGTGTGAGCTTTCAGTCTTAACCTCGATCCTCTACAGTTTCATGTTTGCTGTCGTCTTCATTCAGCCTCTGGCGGGCGGTGGCTCCGCCCCCTAGCAACATGAGTTTAAAAGGCTCAGGTCCTGCTGTGATGTGATTGGTGTTCTGGCTTCGGCTTTCACCAACTAAAGAAAACAAAAATTATCTTACTGAAAATCTGAATCTTTACAAGATGTAACATACAAACACGACTACATGAGGGCCATGTTGAAAAACTAATCTGAGATTTCAGGACTAAAGTTCATTAATGAGAATAAAGTCAGAATATTAATAGAATAAAGTCGCGTTAGGAGATTAGAAATCTCAGATATTCTATCTTTAATGTGGCCTGAATACTGCGTCAAAGTAATATAAATATCAATGTGTGAAACGTTTGAGCCCGTTCTTCTGGGTGTTGTTGGTGCAAACGCTGCAGTCTGGACTGAACTGATCCTTGGTCACTGACTGACTGAGGATTGGGGTGTAAACCTTAACGACTCCTCTATCTGCTGCGCTGGTTTGTGTTAACTCTCACCTCACTGCATCGCTCGGGCTGCCTGATGGGATTGCTTTGTGTGGATGCAAACTACAAGATTTAAGCCACAGTTTGGTCAACATTTCATTCTTTAATTTAGTTTTTACTGTAGAACAAGCTGACATTTCATTTACATGACTTTTTTTTTATCACAGCAGCACAAACATCAACAGTACAACAGCTTTCAGTAGCAGCTCACGCTTCCTTATGCAGCGGTCTTTGACCTAACATCCGGTGTTTCCATGGCAATGATAAACATATTGCGTCTACAACGACACGTCCTGTTACAACTATAAAAGTACGGATTTCTCTGGCTTTGATTACTATTGGAAATATTTAAGCTAATCTAAGTACTCAACAAAAAAATGTAACGTGTGTTTAGTCCATCTTTTATTAATCTAGATATTTTAATGTAAGCATTCTGTGAAATTCTACATATTGTGCGTTTAACCGTTTGACCGCCCTACTGAGGACGCAGAGCTGCACGTGACACGCTTCATTGGCGCCATGCCAATAGTTTGGACCAATGAATGATGATTGCACTGAGTCTTGTGGTTTGCATCCAGCTTAATGTGGCTGAACTGTGATGTGCTTCACCCGCCTGTATTTACACCATCCATTCTCTCTCTCTCCCTCTCTCTCTCTTTTTCAGATTGTGATGTCAGACTCCTGGGTGCCGAGGTCACTTTTAAACAAACAAACAAACAAAAAACAATAATTAGCTTTTCCCCCCGATGGTGCTGTTTTTACTTGTTTAAAACAGCGATGAAAAAAATGAGTAAGAAATGAATATATTGATCCACACTGTAGGTGTGATCCATTTTTATTTTCAAAAGAATTCATCCAAAAGTTTCTACTGGCTAATTATGGCAGCCATGTTGGTTACTCAAAGCATTCAAGGGAAATGTATTTTCTTACACTTGCTGCAACAGATGACTGATATTTTGTTGATGTTTGAGTTGGATAAAAAAAAAAAGAATATGAAGTTTAGTGGATCTCTTTTTTTTTTTAGGTGAAAAAAAAATAACTGTCTGATTGTGACTTCAGTACGACACACGTCAACACACAGCAGATAACTTCTCTTTGATTGTCGTCGATCAACTCGGTCGTTAACATGCTGCAGAAAAAACAAACATTTTTACCTCATTTCTTAGCCGAGAGTTTTTAAAAAGAAAAGCATGCAACGTGTTTTGGTTCCTTTTTATTGGCTGTACCCGTGTATATTGTTCTCTCATGTGAATATTATAACTTCTTGTGAAGGACTATTTTTACGTTCTGAAGTAAATAATGGTAGGTCTGTAAAGATAGATTGGAGCAGACTGTAGTGAAGCTTTCCTGCGGGCTCTCCACTTTAAATAAGTCCTTGTAAATACACCGTGGGGCCGACGACGTCACTCAACACAATTGGTTAAAATTTCACCAACATGGCTGCTCGGCCTCCGTCAAAGTGTCTGACCCACTGGCATCCTATCATGTTTTTGTTTGTTTCTTTTTCTTTCTTTCTTTTTTTTTTTTTGTATTTTCCCCTAGTGCATATTTTTGTCATATTGTAAAGCTTTTAATAAAAAAAAAAAAGGAAATGACAAGATATCTCCCAACTGTTTCCTTCCTCCTCTTTTTGTTTCTGTTCACCCCGTCTCTTCAGGTCTCATAACAACAAACTACAATCAGCCGCCTCTTAGCTCCCTCCTAGAATCCAAGCGCCAAAAACAACACAGACAAGGCCTCGTGGGTTTCCTTTGAATAATAAATCCTTGTGGTTGCACCGCTGTGGAAGAGAGACAAACACCTCTTTTTCATCCGAATGTTTCTGGGACATAATCGGAGATATCCTACCTTCAGACTGGGCAGGATGCAGAAGCAGGACCCCCAGACTCTGCATCAGGAGAAAGATCTGGATCATGGGAGCAGACAAAGTTTTGATCCTGAACCGACTCGTGTTCTGATCCTGTAGCTGATCACTTCCTGTGTTTGTGTCTGCTTCGATCCTCTCGTCGAGACGTGCAATGTTCATTTCATGCTGTCATTTTTTTTTTCATTCCATTAAAACGAAAGTCCCGTCTAAGGTTGTCAAGACACCAGATTTTTAAACTGCTATCTGAATCTAGCAAAAATAAGATCTTGATACCCGACAAAAAAAACACCAGTCTTCAGGCCTTTGCAGGATGAGTCCGGTTTTTTCTATGCATTTTTTTTTTTTGGATATCTGGAGAATATAAACATAACGCAGAGACACCTTGCAGTCGATCTTCAACAGCAGCTGACAGTATGGGGGGCGGGGGAGAACACTACAGAGACGCACACACACAGGGATGGATGCGAAAGTAGATGATCAAATTTATTCCGAAAGAAATAATGACTGATGAAAGTTTCTGAGTCAGTGGGCAGACATGATTGACACAGTGAGATCATCTTTATTTTTTAATGTGCATCAATTTCAGACAGAAACAAAGGGACTCGGTGTGCAATGGCCTTTAAGCGCCAGATGTTGAGTAATTGTCTTGTCTCTAATTACCAAAAAAGCAGGCTGACTCCTGCACAAATTCATTGACAACATGTCAGTATTGAAACGCTGCCAACATGTTTGTGCTGACTCTTCGGCTCGCTTCATCTCCCTGGTAATTTTGGATACCATTGATCACTATAGTTACAGAAATTGATGGTTTTAAAACACATGGTTTTTAAAAGTATCAGAGTATAAAAAATATTGACAACCTTATTCCCCTCCTCCATCAGAAATGTCCATAAAGTCGGACTGTAAGTCGTCCAAACGTCTAAAGTTTGATCCAACTTGGATTGGGTCAAGTTGTTCGAGATGTTTCCTGAGAAGCCTCTTAGATTAGATGGTCAAACTTATTCAAAAACTTTGAGTTCAATTGACTTGTAGCTCAAAGTTATAACTATCATGACCTGGATGAGTGGGAACAATCAGAGAAAAATTGCCTCATTTTTTTTTACGTCCGTCTAAAATCACCATTTTGAGTTCTGCAGAAACTACCCTTGCTTCTTTTACCCCGCATGGAAAATTAAGTGATGTTATAATTTTGTCTGGTAAGTCTTAAAAACTGTGTCACCTCTATTTTCACTCTTGAGTCCACTGCAGCAGGTTTTTGACGAGGTCATTGTCACTGTACGCTCAGGGGGACCTTAGGGATCTTTGATGTTTTATTGCTAAGTTTAATGTGTTCAGCAGAGAGCGTAAGAGGCATGGCGTCGATTTCTTTGTCCAACCAGTCAGCTCCCTTTTGTCCACGTCTTGGCTACAAATAACATCACAGGTGCGACATGTCTGCGCCCATAGTGGCTTCACTTTTGAACAACAAAAGGAGACAGAGACTCGCTGTCCATATTTATATACAGTCAATGATTGATCAGGTGATCTGATCCGAAGCTTGATCCAAAGGCAACTGGGCTTGCTTGAAGATGTTGAACTCAAGAATTCAAGATCTTCAACCAAGTCCAGTTATTAATTACCATGACCTGGATGACTGAGAACCTTCACAGGTGATCTGATCCAGTTTTTCTTGGAGTGGGCTGGTATCAGGGAGCTGGATTACATCATCCCAGGTCGAAAAAAGGTGTATTAGCAAATCTGGATCTTTCTTATCGAAGGGTGTACTGCCCAAACTCTAGTAATTCAAGGGGTTTTCATTTTGTCTGAGAATTGCAAAAATTTTGATTTTTATAGACGGAAACACCCGGAACAGGCCATCCCACCCACCTCTTCCTGCCCTTCATTCTGATTTTTTTCGATTTTCTGTTCTTCTGAAAGTCACAAGACGAATGCACAGCATTTTCTTTTTTTTCATTTAGTTTAAGATCACGGACAGGAAGCAAAGAAACGAGATCATTAGGCCCAAAGGGAAGGTGAAATTTGTTGGAGGGTTAAACTAACTGGTCTGTCCTGAACCTTCCCCCGTCATCAGACTGTCTTCTTACATCCTGTCAGTCTTTAAGTCTCTGTCCCTTTATCTATCAGCCACTTCTTCCAACATATTTCATTGAAGCTGACAGGTTGGCTCACGTGTCTCTCAACTCGCCCTCAAACTGTGGTTAAGTAATTGGATAATGTACTTTTCCACTCAGCATCATCTCAGTTATGTTGCGGTCTGTGGCAGCATGTCTGGGAGGAGAACTCGAGTGGGGACTGGGGAGTCTTTGTACGTCGGGGTTTGTATGAAAATTTTATAGCTGCACTTTGAGCATATTTGGGAACATTTTTGTAATCTGTGTTTATCATTTTTGTAGGAGGGGATCGGTCATGAGACACACATTTCTTTTAAGTAGTTAAAAACTGTTAAAAGTTCAAGCAAATAGTTCGGTTTGCATCCGCAGTTTTCATGAGTAGCGGAGTTGAGAGATGATGTAGCTCCTGTCTCCTTTTCTGTGATTGTCTTTCACACAGATGTCTGTCACTTTGTAATCTGATGATGATGATGACGATGTGTTTTCTCCACTGTTTGTACTCTATTGTACATAATGGCTGTCCAAATATGTAGAGATACAGATTTTTAGAGCAGTAGAAACTTTTATTTTTCACTCTTCAAACCAGCAACTAAGCCCGCCTGTATATTGAACTATTTTTTCTCTTGTATTCTACATTTAGGTGAAAATGCCCTTTTCATAAAAAGTGCTGCATATTGTGAGCATAAAGGTTTTTTTTTAACAGGGTACATCGACACGGTGGACTCTTGTAAAGAGTTCTTCTTGTTTTTGTAAGAAACAAAGCTCTTCAACATAACTTCTATATTGACATTGCATTATTATCTTGTTTTATTTATTCATATCTACAAAAAAAAAAGGTTCTCAGTTTTTTTTGAGTAATGTTGAAGAAACCGTAACTGCAGATAAAAGAAGTATTCTATGTTTTTAACGGATCATTGAAACTCCCAAGAGATTCTCTTTTGTACTTGATAGGACATTTCATCCTAGGTAATAAAGTAATGTTTTTGACACCATGTTACTACTCCTCGTGTTTTCTTTTATTTTATTTTTAAAGGAGCAATATGTAAATCGGTCCCCTAGTGTTTAAAATTGGTACTGCAGTCCAAATTCAAAACATTGTAGAGAGCTGTCTCCCCCCTCCTCTCTAGAGTTGATGCTCACGCAGGTTGCCATGTGGTGGACACTGAAGCTTCAGTGTTTAGCCAGCTCTGCATCGGTCTGTAAACCTTTCTGCGTTCTAACCTCTCTCCATTTTTCAAAAGCATCTCCAATATTGATCCTAGTTTGAGCATGTTTCTGCTCGTGGAGCTTATTAGAAACATGCAGAGGCTTTTTAGGTCGGGTACAATCACTTCTATCTGAACCAGTTCTCTTGCCCGCTTCCATCACTGCAACACCTGTTGGTTTGACCTGATAACTGCTCTAATATCTGGAAACTGAGGGGCTTCCAAAACGGCCGTGTGGGGGGGCCTTAAAACCGCCTACCTTCTCTGGTCCAAACAAATCCAGAGCATTCAGGACCAGAATCTAAAGTTAGAAGGAGGACATACTGGTTGCTGCATTGTTGTCAGAGAAGCCAGCACTTCAACATAGCATGTTTCCTTAATGTCTGATCATATAGTAAGATCACTTTATCATTTAATCCACTATATCTTGCTGATTGGACCTTTAAAAGGTTATACACGTTTAATAATGTGCATACAACTTATATTGAACTCAAACATTTCTTACATTTTTAGTAAGTGTATTTATTAGTGTTGTAATGATATGCCACCGATCCGGTTCTATGACCAATTTTAACATTAAAGAGCAAGTGAATTGGTCTGCAGAGCCCTGGATCAGTAAAAATGTAACATGAACCGGTCGATTGGTTGATCTTGACATTATATGCAAACGTATAAAACATGGACCAATGTCCAAAACTGCGGGAATCAAATACAATATTACAGTTCTTAAAAAGAAAGTCTTACTGACTAAATGTAAAAAACAGAAACTTTCTGAGTGTTTGAATGTTTGTATGCTTTGAAGAAAAAGTATAATGGCAGTTAGACAATCTCACCAGGTGCACGGCAGGGTTAAATTGCTAAAATGCTAACTTTAGCTAGCGGCAAGAAAAGCAGACCTGAGTATTAAACACTTTTCCCAGGCACAAATCAGTGAAGTATTTGGTTTTAACAGCATCTTTGGCCCGTTTTATTTCTTGGGATTCCAACCGTACCGTGTTGTTGAGAGCGATTAATTTCATGACAAGCTTACTAGCAGCTAAATCATCGCAAATATTCCCTGTCAGCTGGAGGTCTGAAGATATTTCCTCCCAACGTTTCTTTCATGATCTGAGGGGGAAGATTAATAGTCGTGCCTGTTGTTGGCATGGTGATCTGTCAGTTTGTGCAGGTAAAGTCAGGAATTAAAGTCCAGAAGTCGGGGAAATCCCAAAATCTCACAATCAGTCGAGAGCAGCTGATCAGGCCGTGGTCGACCGTCATGCCTCAGCGTACACTGCACAAAAAATCCCACAATCAGGCTGAAATTTGACCCAACTTCTAAATCAGTCTTACCACTAAAAATCGGGTCTTAATTGGCCTGAAATCGCACAGTGCACACCCAGCTTCAGTGAATGAAACTGGCCTTGTAAAGCAAATTCAACCCACAACATAGCTGGTTTTTGGCTTCGAGGGAAATATGTGTGATATGTGATCCAGATCCACAGACCAATTAAAACATGGATGTAGTCTCAATGACGTCAACCATTGGTTGCTGGTGTTTGGAAGCCCAACAATGGTGGTCTGGTCGCCATATTGAAAATGTTGCCTCAAGCTAATTTTCAATCAATCTAGAATGAGATAAAGAGCTGGCGGGCCTAAAGCGTCCAGGCAAATAGCTACAACGTGCCCACCTGCCGGTTAACTCAGCCACACCCTGAAATATTTATTTTAATGAATAAATATTTGGCTAATTGAAATCATGGATGATTATTTAAAAATCAATTAATCCCCGTATAGTGTGTGCCCATAAAGACACAAGCTTTCAGACCAAATTGGTTTTTTGACCTATGATGTAATCATGGTTATTCCTGCTATAAAAAAAATACATTTTAAAATGGGACCTAATGGGGATTCCCTGTCGTTTGGAGCCAACCTCAAGTGGACACTCAAGGAACTGCAGTTTTTCGTACTTCTGCAAGTTGCTTAATTTTTCAATATCAGTTTGAAGTCTTCCACTTGAATTGAACCCTTAGCTTAACTCTTTTTGAGCTTCAGTTGAAACCTGTGTGACTTGTGGACACTAAATGACGCGGTCATGACCCCAAACGCACTCACACTAACTCATCCTGTGATCAAATTACCACCATGACACATTCAGCGTTCAGCGTTGACCTTTCACTCTCCTCGCACACCCTTTTTTCCCCCACCTCCCTTACTCTCAACTCCCCACTTAAACCGCTAAATGAATCCAGAGGCTCGCACAAACGCCTAAAACACAGCCAATAACCACAAGCCCCAAGTGGTTTCCATCCAGCATCCGCACCTCTTTCGCTCACTCCCCACTTGTGGTTTGGGGGCTATCACACAGGAAGCAACTAAGAGATATTACAACCTCCCCCTCCTCTCTTCTCCTCCCTCCTCCTCCTCAACATCCTCTGTGATCAGGAATGTCCTCCCGCTGCGATAGTAGCCAAGATGTGGAGCGGGCTCCCGTTTCCTGCCCGCCTGCATCTGTTCCCTCCAGCGCTGATCCCAGATAGAGGCTTCCTCGAGCCTGGGAACTGACCGGCCCAGCTGACAGACGTACAGAGGGGGAGAAAAGAGGCTTAGCCCTGCCTGCCTCCACATCCAAGTTCCCAAGTCAGCCTCTCTTCCCGCAGGCCAGACAGAGACCAGGGTTGTTAAAGTCTAATTAGAGCGTCTTACTTTGGGGGCTCCTTCTCATGCAATCACTGGGAATGATAATGAGGATCGATGTTTCAGTCAGTGAGCAGATGTACTGTATGTGATAGCGTGAGTGGAGGGTTGGTTTGAAGACAAATGAAGATTTCCCACAGGGTCAAAAAGTACGAATCACATACACTTTTATTATCTGGTTTATGTTTAGTAAAGCAATGTAAGCATTCAGTGCAAATCTTTTCCCATTCCTCAGAAGCGTGAGATCAAGGTCATTGTACAATCAAGCGAAAGATTTCTGATTAAATAAGAAGCTGTCTGTTTGGAAAGACAGACCCTCTCCTGTTTCAATCCCCTCGCTGTGTCATTTTACATAACCTTCTTTATTTTTCCTCCACCTTGCCCCTGCCTTCCGCTTACTCTGATCCTCCCTAAATACTCTAAACACCCCCTTTTTTTTTTTTTTTTTAGCTTTGGCCTATGTAGAGGAGAATGTGTTTGTGTGTAAGCAAGAAAACAAGATCCACCCCAAAGAGGTGAAGTGAAGGAGGCACTTGTGTCCAGGTGTGGAGAGGATCAGATTCCTGCGATTGGATTTATGCCGTAGTCCCTACAACAACAAACCCCCCTCTTCATTCAGCAAGGCCCCTTTTGATGTCCCGGTCTACTCAGGCAGATATTTCATCGTGGACACATAATTAAAGTTAGAAAAACAAGCCGCTCTCAGGACAAGCGAAGGTCTTGTGCTCTCTTTTCTCTGCTGAGGTTTGTGGAAGCTTTTTTTTTCAGGCCCTTCATTCCCTCCCTTTTGTCCTTGGAACAATAACAGTGCATTTCCTGCTACTCAAAAACAACCACAGTGACAACATGTACGGGATCGGGGTGCAACAAAACAATACTACTCAGTGCAATACAACATTATGCATTCCTTTCAATTTAGATACATAAACCATCAAATCTGCATGATTCAAATAATAGACTTGTACGTTGAGATCCAAGACTCCTACTTGGTCTTAAATGTAGACAGCAACTGGAAATTAAGACTGATAATTTTCTATGACCTCCAAAGGCAAACAAAGCCATCAGCAACAAGACAATGTAATTATAATTTGTAAATGTTTAAGGCCTGAAACCGCTGCTCCAGTGTAGGTGTTGGATTATTAAACTGTCTTTTTATTTTTTTTACATTTTTAACAGCAAAGATTGATTGATTGATTGATGGATTGATTGATTGGTGAGTCATTAGACTGTTCAAAGAAATCAAAATGAGATTTTTTTTGTCAGAAAACACAGCCTACACGTGGGAAGGATCTGCAACGAGATCAGGGCTTGAGTCCACAGCTGGAAGCGTTCAGAACCTCCGTTTTAGAGCGCTTCTCACCAGCGCTCATTGTTGCTAGGTTATGTTCATTTTTGAGCTTCCCTCGGTAGTGACAGTTAGGTGTATTTTAGATAGCTCCTTGGGTTAAATATTTGCTTTAATTCAAGGACATATCACCAAGAAAACATCAAAACAATGTAAAGGAGTCGTGTTCTGGCATCAGCAGCACACCTGAAAAAGTGGAGTCATACTACCATCTCCAGTCCCTCCACGTCTTGATTCTGATTGGTCGGTGAGGGAGAAGTGACATTGACAAGCACAACAGTTTAACTGTTTCAACTGAGACCGCTGTGAGTGCAGTGGGAACAAACTGCTGTCGCGACGGCATTTTAGCTCTCAGGTTGCTGAGTACTGAAAATGCTGAACTACTAGGTTTTGTATTGAAAACAAGCGCTGCCAGTGCATAACGCTGTCTGTGGACACAAGGCCTAAGTGATACTGCTTTGTCCATAGGGGACGCCATCATTGACACAAACGGAAAGTTCCTCACAGGAGATTAAATAACAGTAAGAATAACAAATAGTGTTATGATTATAAGACATATTTCCCAATATAATTTAAACATTTTCAATTTGGGGGCTTCATGAACCAGCCATGAATTAATGAGGATTCGAGTCGAGCTGCTAGTTTGAAACATGATTATGGTGCTGATAGGGGCTTCTTTGATACCTAAATGTTAGCAAATTATCATTAAAGAAACACTTAAATTAAGCAACTTGTATTTTCCATAAATGCGTCATAAGTCGGTACT